CGTGTAGTTACGAAGACTAAGGCTAATTATGACTAATTACCGAATGCTGAGTAACTTATAAATACCAGAGATCGTCCGGTGGAAAAAAATTGACCCTAAATTTTTACTTTTTGAATGTTTTATTTGATTGAACTATGTGTTACACTGATATTGTTTAGACTTTCGGTACTATGACAGGTCACTCGTAAATTGACAAACGTTTTTACTTTTAAATTCATGAAATATATTGTTTAAAAACGTTACCTAGCTGTAGAAATTTAAATATTGACGCATTTGACCTTCCTCTGTTTTGTAATATGCTTGAAAACGGGGACAAGGCATAAAACTCCTTACGTATTAAATTTATTACCGCTTCCACAATAGCCTTTAATTCTTCATTTTCCACTTTGGTCTCCGGCCGTCCACGGAGTTGTTTCTGAAGGTCGAAATTTCCAGAACGAAAACGTTGAAACCAAAAACGTACCGTGCTTTCTTTTGCGACACCAGCGCCGAGCACATCATTAATCCTTCGAGCTAATTCTGCAGCACTGGTGCCACGATAGAACTCGTACTCGTAAATATTTCGATATTTCATGTTTTCCATTGTGCGGTATTAAGCGACGCCAAAGAATTTAAAAAATGAGGAGAAAACAAATGAATGACTGTTTTCAAAACTCAAATGTACCAGATAAATGAATTTATAAATTTGAATTTCTTAACCAAAGAGGAGATATTTCAGATCAAAGTGGTCAGTACGACAAAACGCTAATTTCATACGACGTTGTCTTTACTACAATATCTGTTCACATTACAAAAAACAGAATCATTTAACCTTCGCAGCGGTCAGAACTGAATAACTGTAACATTCGTAATTCCACACAAGCGTGATCGAAAACTGAATTTTACATTAGATGTCACATAGATGTCGCACAACAACATTTTTGTACATGGTACGATAAAAGTGTTTCATCACGTTCATAATTGTCATTTTATCTCTACATTTAAATAGCCAACTTGATTATACTGTCGAATCAGTTACCATGCTATGCTAAAAATTGTGTTAAGTAGCTCTTTTGTTGCTTTTTCGGGTAAGGTTACTAGTACCCCCCCCCCCCCTACTCCCCTTGGGTAGGGGGGGGATACTCCTACTCCGGTCGAGCCGGCCCATAAAAGCCGTAGCATTGCATTGACAAATAGTTGAGAAAAACAACTGATCTTAAAATACATACATATCACCCACATATCTTTTTGTGAACAGTTATCAATTATGTGTAGGTATGGGTGTAAATATGTGGGCAGTCAAGGTGTAAAAAAAGTGACCCAAATACAGGTTATGTGTCAATGACTGTTTATAAGAAGATATGCTATCTAGGTTACTCTTTATACATTAAAACTATGTAAACAATATCTGTGTTAAATTATTATTATTAAACTAATTAAATGTGGTCATGGGAAATTTGTCCGTGTGGTGACGGATTAAGAATACAGAGTGTCACCACCCCTATTCATCCCGTGGGTGTCGTAAGAGCCGACTAAGGGAAAAAACTACGCAGGACAACAGCACTGCAGAGAGAAGGAAAACTTGACACAAACCCTATACCAACCCCTCTGGCCAGCGTGGTATAGTAGGCCAAAACCTCCTTTCTAAGGAGAGGCTTATGTCCAGCAGTGGACTATTAAAGGCTGTTGATGATGGGAAATTTGACGACGACATGTCCTCTATCAACGAATATTTGCCTGCTGCGGAACGCTCTCCATTTTAATAATGATTCGTAAACCGTAAAATTCATATTAGGCGACTGAATTACACAGGAGACTTCCTCGCGTTAATATATACGCATCGCACGGACGTCACATCGATAAGCAAAAACGCGGCAAAACTTGTAACTGTTCTCCGCAAGGTCAATGTACATGAATAACATGTATATCTAATATTAAACAAATTTTTTTAAACCAGACTTATGCTGAAACTTCTATAAATCTTTTTTTCCTAGTATGGGAGTAAACGAGCAGCCGGGTCACCTACTATGGACACTTGCCCTTAAGCTGACTCCCATTTTTTTTTTTTTTTTCCGTGCGGAAATCTCCTCGGATACCACCTGTCGGTGGCATGTCGGACACGAACCGACTAAAACCGCACGCCGTCTCGGGTACTAATAGCCGGGGAACCAGGTATACCCTAGAAAGGAAGTCCCTGGTGCCCCGACATACCTCGGGTCATCTTCAGACGAGTAGACGACCCCCCCCCCCCCCCCCGTGTGGGAACCCCATGTTCCCTGTGCTCCCTGGAAGCGAGCGCGCTTCGCAACGCGCTCGCCGCCACCCCGGCCTGCTTCTGCTAGGGTGACAGATGGCCTCACCTGTCACCCCCAGGCCTGCGCTTATGGAGGACGAAGGTCGTTCTGCGAAGCTGACTCCCCTCACGCCAAGTTGATAGGGTTTAGGCGTGGACAAAATCACAGTGAACTATGATTTATCATTCAATTTTATCCTAAGCTGTTTTCAGACGATGTATAAAGACCCAATTTTGCCTATTTATCAGTACATAATAATAATTTATTGACATATAAGTTGGTATACATATGATTGAGAATCTCCTGGGTCCTGCGCTAGTTTATCTAGTAAATCTAGTATTTATTTATTATATATACCTACCATTCCCTACATAATAAGTTAAATGGTAGATTTACTGTTAAATAGGCAAAATAGGGTCTTTATGCATCGTCTGAAAACAGCTTACTGGCGACAACGCGTGATTAAGTAGCAAGCCTAACTTATGAAACACCAGTTTTCTGTGAGGCCATGGTTTCACGTAAGGAGGTCAATATACGCCGCAACATGACCCTTCCAAGGAAAAATATGTACATATACAAAGTATTTAAATGTTTTAAGCAAGTTATCTTTGGTGGAAAACTAATTTCAGATGCTGGATATTATCATCTACATGAAATTGCTAATAATTTGAACGTGAAATCAATTATAAAGTTATAAATCGATTACCTATATGTGTCGAATTCACATAGACGTATTTTTTTAAACAACATGGGTATTTTTTTTACTGCCTGTAAAGCATTAAAATAAAAAAAAAAATTTTAAGTGGCAAAGTCGATAATTCAAGAGACATTCTAACACAATGCATATTTTTAAACCTTCTTTATGTGAAACCCAAAGCTTTATAAACATATAAAACCCTAAAAAAACGACTATAATTTATCTAACGGTACAATCATATGTGTGCGATGACGTTGATTTTTACGCTCTACTTTTTAAAAATCTCGAACTCCTTTAAACTCTAATTTATACAAAAAAAAATAAGAATGACTTTTCTTTTTTTTTATCAATTATATGTTTGGAATAAACCACACGGTGTTTTGTCACAAATGACTAGGGATGCACAAGGAAGAATTATTATATGCATAAGTTAGAAGTTAGGAAACGCTGCGCATAGAAATACTACCCTTAAACACAAATCAACAAATGTAGACTTGGTGCCCAATTTTATTTAAAATATATTATTATTGAATTCATAGCAATTTTAGACAACAGTCGAGGGTCAATTAATTTGTTAGAAGTTCCAAGCATTACTAATAGAGATCTACTATTTTTTATGACATACAGATCAAATGAGCAGGTCTCTAGACTCTTGGTTTTCGCTTTAAAACCAGGGTCACCTGGTTTTAAAGTGATTAAAACCAAGAGTCTAATGCATTGTCAGTCTTTGAACTGGGAGTATGCTGCATCTTGAAAATTGCATTGGACTTGGTTTGGGGGAGACTAACCAAGTTCTGCAGTTGACAGTTACCGTACATAGAAGTAAGTCTTTTCTAAACTTAAATTTTTCAGTATGGATAAATTGTAGATTAAATTATTATTTGCTTGTATATACAAGCAAATAATAATTTGTAATAAATATAAGACAGTTTATTTTAAACTCAAGGCCATTGGGACTGATAACTCTACTTAATTTAACTTTTATTGCTTTAGTATAGTTAAGCCACAATAGTAGCTTAATTGAGGTTCATTCATTTATAAATAAAATACACAACCATCTCATTATATTCAGTTTCAATGAAAGTAAAATTATATGACCGGTGAGAGTGATAAATTAAACTATAATTAAAAAAAAATTAAGTCTGAGATATATAAATGGGGATTTTATACATATAACAATGATTTAATGTACAATTATAGAGCACTAATGGTACAATGATTACGATAAAACTAAACTACACCACAAAATGCCTAATCACATGTCTTTGAAACTATGAAATTTGTTTAAGTTGGATGAACAAGTACTTTCACATTACTGAAAGTAAAATTTATTGTATGGACCTGTAGGTCATATAATATATGCATATAATATGTATATCTCTGGAATTGGTATACACAGTGTTATAAAATCATTATACTTGGTTATATAGATATGTTGTGTATGAAGGAATTAACAAGCAATTGTTTAATAAATTAAACCTCCTTTCTAAGGAGAGGCCTATGTCCAGCAGTGGACTGTCATAGGCTGTTGATGATGATGATGATCCTTTAATATATAGATATAAGTGGAGATCATAATTTAAGATATACCTACCCAGAGAAAATTCATCATAAAGACTATTACAATGTGTTGTTGCCTATGAAGGGGTCAATATGGAAATGTACAACTTGCAAATGGAAATAATATATTGAGATTTATTTTGTACAATTCAGAAATAAAATAGGTAGAACAATATACTAAGCTTAAATTCTAAAAACCTATAAGTATAGTGTTTGTAAGTAAGAATATAAATTTGGTTAAAAAACATCTGGTCAACCATACCCAACCATAGACAAGTTTTTATTCATTAATTTAAAAATATTTTACTAAGAAGTTAATTGATTAAAGCTACTGCTGCATTGAATAAGAACAATGAACAGAATTTGACTACATAATGGTATCAATTATAAATAAAAACCAATTGAAGGCCAACATAATCATTCTGCAGAACAGAACACTTTCACTACCTCTGAAATGTAAACAAAAAGACTTACCCATCTGTAGTCACAGAGTTTAGAGATAATGCCTCCGGGAAAATCATTTCACGATCATCTTCCGTCTTCGTGTCTTCGGCCAACGATGTTTCAGGACTAATTCCAGGGTCGACATCGCGGTCACTGACCCCCGTTTTCTGGCTAACATTATGTAGCCCAGATAGATCAACCTTAGGGTCTCCCTCACCATGGAGAGCTTCCGAAACTACCAAAATGAAGAGAGCACAACTGTGGACAATAAAAAATATGCGTAAAACAGCTGCGTAGACAATTTCTATATATGGTGTATGAAAACAACGTTTATACGTACCTAGAAAGCACTGATATTGTCAGTAAAGACGTGTAGATAATACACAGACCACCCTTCATCGTAATATTAGTGAAATATCCACAGTCCATACCATTTTGTGAGTAAAATTAGTCCATTTTCACGACTCCTTCAAACGCACGATTATAAACCGAATATCACTAGTAACTGTCACTGGTCACTTATCACAAGCACAATAACACATTTTGAGAAATTAAATACAATTTAAAAAATTATGCCGTCGCCAAATAATTAAAAATATGGAAACGAACTTTTGCTCAATTTTCTATGATAAATCGAATCGTGTGATTTGACATTTGATTGACGAGTTTTGTTCTCTCTGCAAGAAAGTGGATTGCAAGATAAAAAATCCTATTGGCTGTAAGTTTAATTTTCAATCGATTATTAAGTTTAAGCCAATCATTTGTAGACATTTAATATCAAAGAATTGTTTGTATTGGCGTAGACTTGCCACATTTTCACACTCCGTTTAAAGCAGAGAAAATTAAATTTGAAAATTGTTTATTTATATTTTCTATGAAAAATCGTAAAGTCCATTTTATGATTTGCATAGAATTTTTAACTAACAAGATTGAACTAGTTATTATTGAACTATTCATAAATTTAAATGAGCCACCATGATTAGTTCATCTTAATAAATATACTTTTTAATTTCAAAGTACCAAACTAAAATGTGATGATTAAAGATAAATAGTAATACTTTTAAAATAGAACATTTTATATATTGACGAAATACTTTAATTATTCCTACTTTTAAGTTACTAGGTTTACCTCATAATTATCTCTTTCTAAATTCTACAAAGTCTACTTGTAACTTTTACAGTAGAGAACCAACCAAAACGCTAGAGTGACTGACTACTAATACTAACTGTCATTGACGTCAACAGGCGTTTATCAAATTTGTCGGTTCCTAAAAAAGTAGCATTAATAAATTTGAAAAATGGAAGCTTTATTTGCGCTCCCGTTTACAGTACTCGAAATTCCTAACATTAAGATAAAAAAACCGACATGGCTGCAACCTCCGTCCGCTATGACCACATTCTCATTGGTGCTATTATCATACTTTTTGGTCACCGGAGGTTAGAATTATGTTTTTGATTGTTTCGAATATGATTCTTATTGGATTCCTTGCTGAGGTAACATAAGACACGTTTTTTGCCCCAGGAATTATATACGACGTGATTGTGGAGCCGCCTAGTGTGGGTTCGACAACCGACGAACATGGACACAGTAGGCCGGTTGCATTTATGCCAAATCGTGTAAATGGGCAATATATCATGGAAGGATTGGCTTCGAGCTTCCTGTTCTCACTCGGAGGTGTAGGTTTCATCATTATGGATCGTACACATAACCCTTCTACACCTAAACTGAACAGAATCTTACTCATATCAGTAGCTTTTCTTTGTATAATTGTATCTTTCTTTACAACTTGGATATTTATGAGAATGAAATTGCCAGGATATCTCCAGAATTGATTCTTGTTATACCTAGAGTAAGCAGTATCTCACTGTGCGGATAAGTTCATGTAATAAATATTTTTTATAATCCTTTAATCATAGTGTTTCATTTAAACTTCAAGATTAGTCTCTGGAACTAGTCCAATAAGAAAGTATTTTTATATTAGAGAAAGAGCCAAGTTATATCATCCTATTACTATTAGAAGAGCAGTAACCTTAAAAACAGATCAAACTGCAAGGAATAGCTAGTCAATAATATTATAAGTAGCACAGAATAGTGTAAGTATATTTTAAATGTGGCAATAAAGAGGTAAAATTTAAATAAAACAAGTTTCAAATAGGTTTAGTGGTTTTAGAGATTAATTTTTCATACACAAACTTGCAATATGTGGAATCTCTTATCGAATGGATAAACTTCATTATAAAGCTGTTCATTAAAAAAAGTGCATCACTATTTCTTTAAATGCTCTTTGGAGATTAGGAAAGTGACCGACACATGTTAGGACAAGGTAATACAATAAAATAACAATTCAAGAGAAACATATATTAATACTATTTGCAATATTTGGCATTCCAGAAATTGTCCTAATAAACTTCACATCAATTGGAAAAAAAATATCCAAATCATGAGCCTTACAGTACTCGCATTTGATGTGTAATATCTGACATCACAATCTAAGGCCCTAGTGCAAATTTATTTGACATAACTCGATCGTCAAGGTGACAGCATCCGGCGTTGTAGGGAGCAAAAAGTTCTCCTATATATGGGATTTGTATAGTCTGTGAATAGTCTTGATGTATTTTTTTTTCTTTTTTTACCTAATAGTTTTCATTTTCTTTAATATTTTTTTATTATTGTTATGCCTTATTATTTTTATTGTAGAATGGTACAAGTTTTACTTATGTAAGTCGTGATTGCCTATAACTGAATGAGCACAAGGCATGTTTTTGTATAATTTTTAATTATTGTAGAAATGTGTATCGTTTGTTGGCGATCCAAATAAATAAATAAACTATTCACCAATCAAGAATAGGCCAATAGCATGCCGAACGCACTCACTATGACGATCGAGTAGATGTCAAATAAACTTAAACTAGGCCAAATAAACTTAAACTGACGACCAACTCTAACACCTCATTGGTAATCTTAAATGAGTCACTCTTTCCAGCTCCTGTTACAGACTTCCGTCCCCTTTTCAAGCGTTTCGAGAGCCTCCCTCTTTATGTGATTCTGATATACAATGGTACATGTTACATATCAAAAAGGCTAACATAAAAAATATTAAATTATACGTTCTAAATGGCTTCTACGGAGTATACAGGCCTATCACAACAACAAAACACATTGCTTATAGATTTTTATAATTAAATTTTTCATTGTCCTATGAGCTCCCTACGAACAGTCTATATAATTGTAAGTAAAAGATTAACAGAATATAAATAATTTTACTACATAAATCATAAAAATTATTACTAAATAATTTACAATAAAAATTCAGGAAGACTTCATAAATGCATTTTGTAGATTAAATATAACTAGAAGATATTCTTATAATCTTAGAAATGATTAGATTCTTTGTAGAGAATTCTTACATTTTGGTTAACAGATATAATAATAATAATAATATTTCGGCCATTGACACACAACGCCATCTAGTTACAAACTAAGCAGAGCTTGTATTATGAAATTCTCTGTCATTCAGTTAATTTTCTTAACTGTCTTTTGTTTATGTTAATTATTTTAATACACATCAGTATTTCTTTTGCATATTTTTGATTGTACTCCATTGTTGGTGCTCCTTCGGGGAAGACTTCGTTAAAATAGGAGTAGCAGTATACAGTAAAATAAAGTTAAAACATGTATAAAATTCATGCTAGAATAACTGGACACATTGTAAGAACACCTACTTACATAATGATATGGAGTCAAATGGCCAGGAGATACATGTGTGTATTTTGTGATCAACAGAGGCACTTATTTAATGTGCAAATGTGTGGTTTCTATTGTAGGTACTTACATATTATACATCTTTAAATTCTATGAATACTACACTTAGGTACTGTAACATATAATTACGCTTATTGTTTAGTACAGTGTATAAAAAAATTGATCTTAATATACTTGCTTTGAGACTTTTTCGAGAATGTTTGAGTAATTTGAGACTGTGTTGAGTATTCTTTCATATCTTCATATTTGTTCACAGTCGTATTCGAAATGCACTGAAATAAAAATAATAATAATTGTAAATACAATATATGAGACAAAGCAAAATGGCGTGAACCTAGGATAGGGAAAAATAAACATTTCATTTAAGATTTATACAAGATTTGGCTTGCTGCATTGCCTGTGTGGCTGTTTTGACGGCGCGATATTTTCAATCAATATTGACGGGTTAAAATCTATATATGCTATTCCAGACTATTAATCTATCTCCTTGCCGAATTTTATCCAGATTCGCTCAGCCATTCTGGCGCTATTGTGCAACAAACATCCAATTGCATTTAGTAATTACACATCACAATACAATTTTCACTTTTTTTAAATGTATGGAAAAATGTGAAACTGCTAAATGTAAACTATAAAAAACATATTAGTTAGTATAACTAGTAGTCTAGAGAAAGTAGTTCCAAATACTCAAACTTTAATTATAACTAATTGTAAAGTGCAAGTTTAAAGTGGCAACGTATTCAGTTGCAATAATTCACTTCATTGCACAGACCTAACAATATCAAGCAAATGATTAAAGGTATTTTTTTTTTATATTCGTTGGCTATATTAGTACTTACTGGCAAAAATCAGAACTCTTGTCTATGATATGTTCAAATTCAGCAAAGGAAAGTGCACCATCGTCATCTAGGTCCGCTTCTTCTAGTACATTCTGTACTAACTGCTGGATTTCAGAGTCGCTAAGCTTTAGTTCTGGTCCACAAAGCCGTTCAATAACCTCACGCAAGTCTGATACACCAATCATGTCATCACCATCAAAATCTGCAACATTTCACAATCTATAGTAAAGAGTTATTGAGTTATTGACCAAACAAAATTTGTGGTCTACTCTCAAGTATGGATGGATGTTTAACTTTACAATTAAAGCAAACAAAACGTTAATTCTAATAAATTTAAGCACTAGGTTTACAATTCAAGTTGTTAAGTTATTGTTATCTGTGCAGTGGTATCTTTTATGAATGAATATTATTCTAATGAAAATTCTCTTAGAGTACAAAACAACCGATTTATTCCAGTTTAAACTTATATGTTTTCATATATAAAATGCTCATGGAAACCGCAGTCTGTAAATAATATAGGTACAAAGGATATACTCCTCAAAAACTACCACCACCCTATTTGAAATAGTTGGGTTTAGAAGAAATCAAGCAAACAAAATCACAGCCACTCTATTAAATCACCAGTTACAAGTATTTATTTATTTGATTATTATCTTCTGTTTTGTTATGCGAAAAACTGTACTATCATATTATACATATAGGTGCATAAAAAATGTTACCAAATATCCTAAAAGCATGTTCTGCTTTCACAGCTTTAGGTGCCATCTCACTGAACACTGACATCATATCAAGAAAGTCCTCAAAGGTGCAGTCTCCGTCGTTACTTGAACTGAACACTTTACATATTCTGTCTCTAAAGGGATTTACTCTTAGTTCTGGATACTGTAGGATCTTAGCCATTGGCAGTTTAGCATTTTTGTTGTGACCAACTTTCTCGGGCGCTAAGGCTTTGAATTTCTGGTGTGCACTGCAAATTTATGGTAATAAAATTTTATTAATATAGACATAGTTTAGATAAAAACAATGTTTTATCTAAGCTTGATCTGAAAGAGATATTTTTTCAAAAAATAATAATAATTTAGAACACCTTACACCTGGTCATCTGAACCTTAACTAAATAAAACGTACACTACGGTAGCTGGACTGTTGATGAACTTACATACCAAAATAATTATATATTACTAAATACATACATTTTATACATAAATTAGACCAGGACATAGAACTCATGCTCATCATAAAATCAGGCAAGAACAGAACCCATGACCTCAGTCTCAGCAGGGTCACTACTACTAGCTACTAACCAGCAGTAAAATTAACCTACTTAAAAAAGTAGTTTTAATAAATAAGTGAGGACTCATCTAACCAAAGCAGGTACAGGTATCATGGATTAAAAAAAGTCATATTTGCAACAAGATTGTCACTCTATAGTCTATTTTTTAACCAACTGCAAGTTTTAGTATGTGGATGAAGTTTTAAAATTTAAAAGGAATTTAATTATGTACTTATGGGCAGATTTGACAACACCCATAACAGAAAAAAGTTTTTAACAACATTTTAACACTACAGGTATTTTTTATCACATAAATATGACAATATTAGAGACTTACTACAACACTTCCTTCTTCGTAAAATAAGTGAGATCCTGAAAATAATAAGAAATGGTTACTCATCGTCTCAATAACAGTCAATACACAAATGAATATAATATTATTGAAATTACCTCGTAATCTTGAAGCTCTTCTTCGGTAAATTGACTTTTACCTTGCCCCATAATATTACGAGTTAAAAAAAATAGTAAATTCAAGATGATATTTAAGGTAAACAAATTTGTTTATACGAAATAGATAACTTGAACAGATAAAAGTGACAGAGGGGTGGAGGAAAACAAAGAATGAATGTGTCAGATTGACGTTAGCTCAATCTTGCCCACTAGAAAGTTGTCCACTTATCATTCTAAAATCTCCGAGAAAATAATAAAAGGATCGTATTGTAAATTTTGTTAAGTTTGAAATATTCTACATTATATTAGGAACACACAATACCTTAATATTCTAATAGGTCTGCAGCGGCATTTATAATTCGTCGTTTTTATCTACGCGGCGAGGGAGTTTGTTTATTCGTCATCATTTACCGACATAGTTTCTAAAAAACAAAAGAATTTATTAATACATTAATTAGTTTTGCTCATTCTGTTAAACATTCTGTGTACATGTAGAATTTTATATTTCCAAAATAGCCAAATAAGATTTTTAAATCAGCAAGGTTGCCAAGATTGTTGGAAATATGTGATAAATGGTATACCTACCTACCACAGATTACTAAAATGTAATTAATGTAGCAAGAATACCATTACATACTTTCTCACTAATTCACTACTAACCGTTATTTTTTTGATTTCTCGAAATAAATATTGATCCTCTCTTATATGGACCACCAGGGATCAATTCACATAGTACAGGATAACTTTTCTTGCACGATGTGGATAGCCAGGTACGATGACGCGTGATGACGACACAATCAAACTTGTTACGGTATCTCCTGGGATGGCCAGGAGCCCAAGCTCGATAAGTGATACAATCCAGCCCATTCCCTAGAGAACGAAAAAATATATGGCAGGCATTAAGAGAACACAAGAACTCGGTAGATATTATTCGTTATTTCTGGTTCCTGTTTATATTTGGTAGATACCTTAGGTGTTAAGTATCTTAATTTTCATTTGAGACATCTCATGGGCAATTAAGTTGTTTAAAGCCTACGTAACTGTTTTGTAAAATACTGCGGTTTATTTTCAATGTTTGAAATAATTTATGTTCCCAAACGATGGGCATTGAATGACATTTGAATGAAACAGAACTGAAGTCAATGGTAGATGAGTGCAAAGAAATCCGAATTAGAGTTGGCATTGTGGCTACTGGATACACGTAAGAGATGTGTACTTTTTAAGATGTTTTTAGATGCAGTATTTGCATGAAAGTCATTGTTAGCACACATCACACACTTTTCAATATTGGCTCACTATCTGTATTAACAATAATTTAAACTTGAAAGTCAATTTTAATCTACTTTGTAGTATTCAAAAGATGTATCAAGTTTGAATAACAATATATTAATTTGAGATTTTGGGGCTGATCTGATAATGGAGTCGGACTAGGCAGAGCCTGTACTATGGTAACCAAAGTGCCTATAACTTCAACATAACATACCTTTTGACCTAGATGGGAATCGAACCTCTGGCTTAGCAGTCAGGATCAGTAACCACGAGACCAATAGGCCCTGTTCGTGGTAATAATTCAACTGGTGGTTCGCAATTAAAGACATAATCCCAATAAGGATTAATCCCAACGTTTTACAAGGCATTAATAACTTAGACGAATTTCACTTCTTTTGCACTGCAATACAACCTATTTGTCAGTCTGTTACGTTAATATCATCTTAAAAAAAGGTTTACAGTGGCAATAGAGATTAAAGAAGAGAGTAGAATTTTGATGAATATTATTGTGATCTGTGTCGTAACTAGATAAACATCTTCAGGAGGAGTACGGGTTCCGCACCGGATAGAACTTATTTGGAATGAATGGCTGAGAACTAAATAGTGTACCTACTTGAAATAAATTTTTAAGATATTGACTTACCATTAGAAGTTACGAAAGTACTGCTATTTTTACTTCTGAGTCCCACGAACGCAGCATCAACGCTTGCTCCTGCCAACAGCTGCGCAAGCGCATCAGTCCGCTGTTCGCTGGTAATATCAGCTGGTACTGCTGTTATATTCTTACACTCTCGAAATGCTAGAGTATAATTTAGTTTCTTTGTGACGAGGAAGAACATACCCGTTGCTGGGACACAGGTTGAGTTCACGTGAGCTGGAAATCATTTAATTTAACATTTCTTGCATTTATATTACACGAGGCGGACACAATGCCGTATTATATTTACATATTTGTAAGATAACCAGTGGCATTATATTATTTAGACATTTTTCATTATTACTGTTATATTAAAATCATCATCAACAGCCTATAACAGTCCACTGCTGGACATAGGCCTCTCCTTAGGAAGGAGGGTTTCGCCTACTATACCACGCTTGCCAGACGGGTTGGCATAGGGTTTGTGTCAAGTTTTCCTTCTCTTTGCCATGCTGTTGTTCTACGTAGTTTGTCCCTTAGTCGGCTCTTACGACACCCGCGGGATAAATTGGGGTGACACTCCGTATTCTTAATCCGTCACCACACGGACTATATATTAAAATTACTGTTTCAAAATACTAATGATATTGCATGAATGATAACTAATGGTGACACAATTGTTATTTTTTGTTTAAATACTATTACTATTGTCTTATTCATTATTATATTTCAAATACAATGTAATTTGATGATTAATAAATGACTATGACTATATTTAACAGAAAGATCTTCACTTTTTTGGGGGACCATTTTGAATAAGTTTGAATTTGAAGTTTAGAATACTTATAGCTTAAATTTTTCTCAAATTTAACAATTATGTGAAAACAGCTGTAAAATCTACGTTCATGATATGTCAACCTATTGTGGTCTTGGTTAAGATATTCTGGCCTTCATAGCTTGAGTGCATTACAAATGTACGTTAATAACTACAGTACAAACAGAAGCATAATAACTATAGAGATTTTTTTAAACAAGAGTTTATAGTAGTAAACAACGTCGTAAGTACTTACGTAAAGGTTTCCCATAAAGACTGTAGTAGTCATATCTAGTATCGTTCACCAAAGATAATCCACCATCCGTTTCCGCACACTTGAAAACTTCACAGGTATATTGCAAATCCTCTTTGCTTTCTTCCCATGCTTCTGGTGGACTATAGTTTAAAGCCAAGCCTCTCTTTTCAATACCGAATCTTAAACAACTGGCTAAAGAAGTAAAGTTCGCTTTAGCAGCTATGCCGAGTTTAGATCGGTGGCATTTTTCTAAAAGATGATAGCGAGACACTGACAGAGAGTTTACGTTACAAGGTGAGTTAGATATCACTATTCGTACAACCATAATCAATTTTAGAAATATATTTTGTATTAAATTCATTATAAAAGATTGGTACTTAGGTATAATTTTGTAATAAGAATGCGCCTGAAATAAGTTAATAGCAATATAACGTTTAACAGTATTCAATTTAACAGTAACGGACAGCTCGCTAAACTGAATGGTTGTTTACACTTGCACTGTACACTGTACGAGATTTTTGAATATAAAGGTTTTTGTGTACCTAAAACCATAGACTGCACCCCAGCTAGCAGAAAGTTTTACACAAGGACAATACAAAAGAACTGTATTTATAAAACATATGTAGTACACAATAAATAACAGTCCCACTATTAACCAGATCTCTTTTTACAAATAAGTTCCTTACGCTTTCAAGTTCCAAGCTTCTTAGAAGCACAAAGCACACCAGATAAAAAGGCGATACCGATGCTTTTAAACGCCTAATTCCTAGCGCTCAACTTCGAGACTAATTAAGTTACTTACTATGTCCCAACTCCGATGCCTTCCTAATATTAGTAAATGTAAGTAGATAAGAAATAAATTTGATTGTAAGTAATTTAAGTGAAAATAAGTGAGGGAATCATATAAGTTACACACAGATAACAATTTAAATTGATTATTTGTTGTTAGCTTTGCCGTTTGAAACTTCATAACCGAAAATAATACCACTACTAACGATTTATGATCTACGACTGATCTTTGGCGCCTGCCCTGCAGTTATTTTGCAGACATTTAATTACAAATAGTTATCCATTCAACTCTATACAAGATGAGTATTCAATGACAATACGATTACTACAAAATGACCACACAACACAATGATCACATGCAGCGAATTATTTAAAATACAATAGTAGGTAATAGTTATTATGAGACAACTGACCCTGAATTAGATCAGACAGAGGAAGTATTTGGTTATTTGATATTATTTCAGATTAGTAAGCTTGTACGTTCAGAGTACTGTAGGTATTTATATGAAGTAATGCTAATAACACAAACCTACTACTTAAACATACCTACAGACACTCTGAGTAGTAGATTTTTCGATCTATCGCCATAGGTATTAAAAATTCGTAGGTATACGAATAAATTATTTGAAAACAAAATGATGTCACATTTCAGTTAGGTATGAGAATTTTGAAAGAGTTACTTGCAAAAACAAATAGAATATTTGTAGTGCAGTCCACAAAAGAAGCTCTAGGTGGTTGTGGTTTTATACAAAATGCTTTGAAGTGCAGTAGATGCGGCATAGATTCACTGACCACTATTAAACAAGTATGTATAATAGAGGTCAATGCATAGATAACATGATAGATTTAGCATTAGGTAAAAAAGTGTAAAACCTTCTTGGTATTTGTTTATTAATAAACTATATTCATTAATACTGTCCACAATAAAATATTATTCGAAAACCGTCAATAATCTAGGGGTGCATTCAAACAACTGTCATTTATTTGGAAATGTCATTTTACTTGAATTTTGTTGAGGAATAAAATAAATAATTTTACATCGATTTAAACAAGAAGACAAGTTCTGTGGCAACACAATGGGTTGTTTTTATTCTAGGCGCAATGAAGAGGTGAGTTATGATGTTGTAGTCTGGTATGATGGTGTGACGTAAATGGTGATGACTTCCACACAGACGGAGACACGAGACTTACCAGGAGATATAGAATGGCATAACTACCATGATACTGGGACTAATAATCCTTAAACGTCGTACATGTAATCACAGACCGCTTTTGATAGACGATTCTATCTTTGATTTAGAGAGCACACTAGAACAAGTTTCAAGTTTTTTAAATTAAGTAATATAGAAGGTAATCATTAAATATTTGGTAGCATTTTCAATTAATATTCGGCTTGCATTGCAAAATAACTTTACAGTTCACGAATGTTACCTTAAAAAAGTAGATAGTTTTAATTTTTATGGCAAGTAAATCGATGAGATAGTTACATTTTATTCGAACAGCAGGATTTGACAGACGCAAAGTATGAAATGTTTATCAAAACTTAGTGCGGAGGTCTTTTCGCTTAGAACAATCTTATCCAGGCAACCTTTGGATCTATGGATCTATTAAAATATATAATTATCATATATTCACATTACTACTCCATATATGTTATATTAAAATACTATACATGCATACAATAATGTCTACATTTATTAAATAATGCTCATACAACATAGTTTTGAAAATGGTTAATTATTGGTTAATTGGGCCGATAGAAGCTGGTAATGCATTCCATAAAGACACAACTTCTACAAAAAAGATGTTGAAAGAAAACTAGTGAAATAACCTGGTATTTCCAATCTAAAGTTTTCAGCAGCCTTCAGTCATTATAAATGTGCCATGACGGAACCTAAAATTCTTTGAGGTACAAAAGGAATTAATGAATTAATAAAATATGTATAATATAGAAGCGTAAGAATAAAGATTGGAAGCTACTTGAGCTTTACACGGAAGTGAGAAAAAAATACAAATTTATAGCTAGCTGACGACTAGATAGCTGACGTCGGCATAGTCAAAAATCGGCAGCAGGAGCGTTTGTACAAGTGCAGTTTTATCAGCTGTCTCTTCGTAAGGTTCGCAAAAATCCCGCCGCAGAAAATCCTTTGCGACTTACCTCCTGAATCGGAGGTCCCCAAGATTAATGTGTTAGTAATTATAATTCCCAAGAAGAAATGAAAATAATTTGAGAAGAAATCTGGCATTTAATTTTGTTATTGCTGACAGTTATTCGTATCTTTTATTAAAAAACTCACACATTGTCGCTGCTGCTATAAAAGAAAGATGTTCTTCTACTCTCTTAAGTTTGAGAAATGATATTTTGTGTCTTATGTTCTGGATGTATGATAAAATCTCGATCATACTTATTTGAAAGTTATTAGTAATAGGCCCACAAACACAAAATTATTGAGATCATGACACGAAAATTGATAATCTGAACAGCAATTCCCTACATTTATTTCAATGAATATTTCTTTCGAAACTAGGAGGACACGGTATACGACATGACACCAATACGGCATCTGCCCGTCATTTTCGTCAATGGCGTCCCGGGCGCCGGCAACCAGACTGTCGCACAGACCATGTCCAATATCACTGGATACACAATGATCAGGCCCGGTGAGCTGGTGAGGGCTGAAGCACAGAAAGACACGGCCAGAGGTCGTCTTATTGCTGATAAGTTGCAGGCACAGGAAGATATTCCTGAGGTAAGTAACCTCAACGGAGCGCTACATATCTAAGTACGGTAATTAAAAGTAGGAAGAGATTTATAAAAAACTAAATACTTTTATTTGCTGCAAAATTGCTGAATATAGACGGTGTTTAAAAGTGGGTCTGGCATTAAAAATAATATTTTAATTTTTTATATTCCTAGGAGAAAGATGGTTCTTACTTTACTGCTAAGTATACGTCTACTTTTTTATCCTTGAATATACGAATCGTATTTGTGTATTTTTTTTGTATTTTTTTGTGTAAGTTAGTATTCTCGGGGCTATAACTACTGCTTCTGTGTAAATCAAACAGTAAACAAGGTCCAATATATTGTTGTTACTGTACTCTTTTAATTTTCAGCAAATGACAGTAGACCTCATAAAAGAGGCAATGCTGCAGCAAGCGGAAGCCAAGGGCTTCATATTGGTTGGATTCCCGAAGAATCCACGGATGTCTAACATATTCAACAGACAGGTCAAGTGGCCTGAGAAGGTTGTGGCGCTCGAAGTCGACAATGAGGTGAGACAATCCCTTTGAAACCACTTGGATTTCTTTGAAAGTAGGTGTGCATCTCAATTGTGACAGCATAGGTTCAATATTTACCTAAACACCATTCTTCCATGGATAGAACTCAGCAGTTATGTTGAATTTATTGCATGTTGCAAAATTTTTACTATATGATGAAGACTAATTGACAACCTGATTGCTGACTGAACTCTCAACCCCGTGCAGGAAGAGCAAATTCTCCTTTCTTATTAAGAAACGCATGCGAGACATGATATTTGATCTGATCCGGTGATAGAGCAATGAATTAGCTTTCGCGCTACCTTTCTCGGTTTATCCGTTGCACCCACTAATCAGAGACATGCGTTGTACAAAAAAACCATCGGACGACAGGCCCGACAAATCTTTGCTTGTCAACCTCCCTGTCACCTGCAGTTGAGTTAAATATGATTATATGTTATTATGATTATTATTGTGAAACGAAACGTGGCTTTAATTGGTGAATCATTCATGCCTTTTAAATTACAATGTATCATTTGGGTAGCGTAGCGTTGGTAGTAATATTAAGTGTAGTCCTGGATTTCAGCCAATGAGCGGACCTTCTGTGCTCCAAAGCAAATAAGTTAGTTACAAGCTTAATATTTATTGGCAGGTTGCCGCAACCAGATTGCAGAATAAGCTGTCTGAACTGGGTAGACCAGAGTCCGAGATAAATGCAGCGCGGCAGATCGTGAGGGAAGCCGCTCACAAAGTTAAAAACGTTCACAAAAGATTCGGCGGCCATGTCGTCACGGTAAGCTAGCAGTGAAAAACGTAAATGGTACTGTTAAGTCACGTCATCCGTCTAAAGCTTAGTTGTGACTTACTGTTAAGCCACAGTTATGCCAAAGACGGATCCAGCTTGTAGAGCCAGAGTGAAAGCTAGAACTCCAGCAAGCCAGTACTATTATTGGCTTGCTGGCGTTCTCGCTTTTACTGCTACTTGTTTCCGATCGATGGTAAATTCAAAATTTAATGATGAATGTTATTAAGAGAACGGATGAGAGACGCCTGAACGTAGCCGAAATGCGAATGCTGAGATGGATGTGTGGTGTGACTCAGATGGACAAGGTTAGGAATGAGTATATACGAGGGAGTCTGAAAGTAGCGCCACTGGATGAAAAGTTAAGAAGTAATGTATGGATATGTCATGCGGAGGGATGAGGAAAATGTGGCGAAGAAAGTTTTAGGGATGGGAGTTGAAGTGTACAAGAGAAGACGCAGACCGAAGGAAAGGATGATGGACTGCGTGCGGGAGGATATGGCTAGGAAGAGAGTAAACAGTGAGATGACGCATGACAGAGTAGAAACGAAAAATCATACATACTTGCGTCGACCCCAAATAAAATTGGGAAAAGGGTAGGCAGATGATGATGTTATAAAATGAATTGACACGTAAATTAATAAGCGCTATAAGCAACACGTTACCTTTAAATTTGACCAAATCTGACAAAAACATTGAGGGCTCTCAATCTCATTTACCTTATCAAATTACAGTTACATTAATAATTTATACAATAAAATCAAAGAAATTTCGTTTCGTGAGGAAACTAAACACTAAAATACACATGTTAGAGGGGCAAACGAGCAGACGGGTCACCACATACACACTAGTAACACTTACACTCTTACCTTCATTGCATCATGATAATTGGTGGTGACGGATTAAGATAACGGAGTGTCGCCACCCCTATTCATCCCATAGGTATCGTAAGAGGCGACTAAGGGAGCATACTACACAGGAAAACAGCACTGCAAAGAGAAGGAAAACTTGACACAAACCCTATACCAACCCGTATGCCCAGCGTGGCATAGTAGGCCGAAACCTCCTTTCTAAGTCGAAGCCTATGTCCAGCAGTGGACTATTAAAAGTTGTTGATGATGATCATCATGATAATTATGTAATTGTCAACAGTTGGACAGCAGCGGCAATCCGAAGGCGTTAGCGACGACTCTCAAAGAAATCCTGTCAGATACGATAGAGAAGTGTCAAAAGAGGCCGGATTCTCCGTTGGCGGACCCCGGACCCCCCACAGCTGTGTCAGCCCCCGCCGTAGCACCGCTCTCGACCCCCCTCACGAAAGCCCCCATAGAGCTCAAAGATGAAGATTGTTGAATTTTGCTATAATACAATGTTACTATTTTTATGTGGCTGTTTCAATAGTATTTTTCTTTATTGAAGTACTTAATATTAATTAAATGATTATATTTATACTTGTTTGCAATTTATATCTTACATTTAACCTTTGACACACCTCATCCTGATATTGAAGCCTCATCGCTTATACTGCTGCAGGATTTATCAGAAGACCAGTGATAAAATTTTGTTCCATAATGGTTGTTAATATAACTTGGCTTTTGGTAAATATTGGAAAACAATTTAAATATTTATTATTAATTAAATTATTTAAAAACAGACTGCGGGAGATTTGATGCTAACTCGCAAATATATTTTGTTTCTTTTTTAGAACTTCTTCAAATTACATTTACAAATGTACGTCATTTATGCAAGATTTATAATTTGATGCCAAGAATAATTTGGAGACAAAGTATCTTAACTTTTTAAAATTTAGATGAACCCATTGTCACACACAGTAGTAATAAATAAGTAATAAAAGAGTGTTTATATAACACTGTGTGTGTTTGTGTGTGTGTTTTGTGTTTATAGGCACATTCCCTGGCCGATAGCGATGTTTTACCGTAGTTACATTCATGCTGAAGGACGCGGCGTAGAGGGCGCGTGAGGAAAATCTCCACTTGCACCCAATTGGCTGCGGGCGATCTGGAAGTGTGTTTTTTTTTATTTTTCTCTTGGTGATGATTGCTGTCTATAATTTATTTTAAATGAAGAATATTTTATTATAAATATGCAGAATATATAAAACTAGCTTTTTCAGGCGGGTATGTCGGTTATTGCGGTAAAAAGTAGCCTATGTTACTCGCTGATAATGTAGGAAGGTGGTGGTGAAAGAGTTTTTAAAATCAATTTAGGCGTGAAGGCGTAACAAACAAAATCACTTTCACATTTACAATATAATTAAAATAAGTATGGATTACAAATATAACTCCATAATTTATTTGTCATTGTTAGAATTGAAACCTATTTTATTGCAATTATTTGCAATCTAGAACAATGCGTTCCTTGTAACATACTCGTATCTACATAAATACACTCGTTCCTACATTCTCAAAGCCTGCCTACCTAAGTAAAGGAGGCTTAAACGCCGACTTAATGGCGAGTCAAACTTTACTCCCAATTACGTAAAAGAAGGAATACCTATATATTTCAAATTGCCTCATTAGGAATCATCATCATCAACAGCCTTTTATAATCCACGGCTGGACATAGGCCTCTCCTTAGAAAGACGGTTTTGGCCTACTATCCCACGTTGGCCAGACGGGTTGGTTTTGGGTTTGTGTCAAGTTTTCCTTCTTTTTAAGGTGCTTGTGTCCTGCGTTGTTTTGCGCCCTTAATCGGCTCTTACGACACCCACGGGAAGAATTGGGGTAGTGACATTCCGTATGCAGCAGCAGCGCCGGCATAACCAGCTGTCCTTGTAAGATGTGATGGCACAAGGGTTTCGACGCAAGTTGCGTCCACCAAGAAAGGCTTACCAGTCTTCCATGGCAGTAACGACTTACTATCCGGTCGCTTTCCAACGTCTAGTACCAAATTATTTGGTTCACGTACAGCTTGAACGCTTACAATGTTTTGATGAGGTTTAAAATTGTAATGCTCAATTTGTAAGCACTGTAAAAAGAAAAATAAATCATAAAGTTAAAAAAAAAGGTATAAATATACCAAGAAATTCAAGACAAACGTAAAAAGAGGTTAAATAAATTTGTTTTACAAGCGACTGGCTTGAAATTAATTCTTTTTTTCCAAATTTCAAAAATTTATCAAAATGACAAGTGACAATGCATGTCGTTGTCAATTGTCACAAAAGCGCATCGATTTTCGAAACAAAATAAGGATAAAACGAATTCATTCTCAACAGAGCACTCTTTGACTAATCATCGCATAATTATTTTGTTTATATTTATAACATTATTTCAGATATTTCTGTGATGTCAATTGTAAATGTTATTAATTGGCAGCTAATGTCAAAAGCGTGAAGTTTGGTGGCGGGAATTCCACTTTGTTGATAATTTGTTAAATTCGCCACGCTGCCTAGATCCGTGATCAAAGTTATGAAGATCAAACTGCGTAAGTACTTAAATGTTTACAAAGCGTCGATAATAAGTATTCCCATGATAATGCATTTCGTAGGTATAGTTGTATAAAAAACTAAGCCTATGTGACAGAGACATCGTCACGTGAAAAAAGCGTCATCACGTGACAATAATAGTTATGCTTACATAGTTTATGTAAAATTCCTTTGTATGTAATTATTTTTTTTATTTATATAATGTACGTAATTATTGTAAGCAAATTTCTTGTATTTCTTTTATATGGGAAGCAACGGTATCATCTACATGCGGCCTATATTAAGCTATTACTACTAACATTAAGATTTACTAAATGAATCGTTCCGTATTTTTTTAAATAATGATAACTAACTTAAAGGCCGAAATATACTATACCCATGAACTAATATTTAAGTAGAAACAAAGGCCAAGTAAGTATAATTCCACTTTCCTGGCTTTACCACTGAGTTAAGTTACACAAGGTACATATTTTATTGTCTACTTAATTATTTTCCTATTTTTAAGTTTTACGAGTCATTAGGGAATTATTATTTTAGAAAATATCATATCTTGTTTATAATTAAAAATAAGCCTTAGGTATATTTTACCATGCAAAATGATCACGCTTAGCATAAATTCCTTGGATAATCATCACTAACTATTCACCCTGGTGTCTATATGTTTATAAGTACCAGGAGTGGCATGACTCAAGCTTCAAGCTGGCCGATCAAACTTACTTACGTTCGGTTAGTCTGTTCTAGCCGTTGCAATCAAGCTTGTTTCCATTTAGAGATGCTATATACAATTCCTATTATATCGTAATAAAACGGACCCTGAACCTTGCAACGTAAATTTCATTAAAATAAAAAAAGGTAGTGAACTAGGTTAAATAACATTTTCCTCTGTTGATTGAAATAGCGCGCGATCGTTTCCCGTCGACGTCATCGACGGACGACAATGAGAGCGGCACGGACTGGGATGCCGAGGGCCGCCACAACGCCTTGACACAACCCAGACACCCGCCGCCACCACAGGTCAGGGATCACCAGCTCTACATGACGCACAGACGCCCTAATGAGCCTGGAACTAATTGGGATCCGGAGGGACGGCATCCTGTTATGGCACATCCCAGACATCCACCACCGCCACCACATGCTCAGGTGAGTCCTTTGGTCCAGTAAGGTGAAGCCGGTAAACCTCTAAAAATGATCGTGATCTCAACAGATTCAATACAAAGGTCAAGTTTTGTATAAATAAGTCCTTACATATAACACGTACGTACGTGGTTTTCTGAACAGCGTTTAGAAAGAAAAACATATTAGGCTAGATCAGTAATGATTCAAACTTTTCAAGAACAAGACCCAGGTTACAATGTGTTTTTAGATTGTAAATTGTGTGGACTTATGATGATGTAGCTGTTATGTTTTGGAAGTGTCTTAAAAATAATAAGCATATTTGTTTTTTTAACAGTCTTCAAAGAAAGGAGGAAGTTCTCAGTTGGGCTGTAGATATTGTTTGTCAATACTCGTTATTTTTAAACAGATTAGGAAAATTATTTTTTGGTTTGGTTAAAAAATTGAACCTAAAGGTGAAAAATTAAGGAATGAAGAATAGTTTATTACAATTCATACTTTACACACTCATACTTTTGACTGCACGGATGGCTTAGTGGTTTAAGCGGTCGCCACGCCGCTTCCTACTACGTAGAGTGTAGTGGGTTCAAACCCCACATGGGACAACACTTTGTGTGATCCACAAATTGTTGTTCTGAGTCTGGGTGTTCTTTGTGTCTGTTTCATGTATGTTTGTAAAGTCCCCCGCGACAGGATATATTCCTAATGCGGGAGTTTAAACTTACAATTGACATTTACACTTAACTGGTCAGTTACACTGCAACCAGGACCAAAGGCTAACTGCTACATAATTATAAACCTCATCAGTTCGCGTAAAAATAATTATAAAAATCCAAATTATTATTAAAATATTAATTATTAACGAGATTTTAACTTAGATGTGGCAAATGAAGACGATGCTAAAAGAGTTAATTAAACTTAGAGTACTATATCTAAGTATGTCTGATCAGATATCATAACCGCGAAACTGGTAGATCAAATTAGATTTAAAATAGCAATCCGTTAAAGCACTGGTGATTTTAGCTCCATTCAAGTGCCAGTCATTAATTATGCGAATAGCTGACTGCACGGATGGCGTAGTGGTTTAAGCGGTCGACAACGGCCGAGTGTCGTGGGTTCAAACCCCACATGGGACGACACTCTGTGTGATCCGCAAATTGTTGTTCTGAGTCGGTTTACTTTGTGTCCGTTTCATGTATATTAGTAAAGTCCCCAAAAGACAACTGCCGCACTAGGAATAAATTCTGTGTAACGACACAGAATTTATTCCTAGTGCGGCAGTTGTCTTTTTATAGAAAAAACAAACGATTTGTCACGAAATATTAGTGCATCGCAATAGATTAGAGTGCAATTTCTTAGCTTTCCTCTTTGTATTTTATGTATGTAAAAGACGCCGGCGTGCATCTTAGTTGATCTGCTATTAATTTTGTAGACAGTGATCGTGGGCTCAGTACGTAAGCGACGTGGCAACTTACCGAAGCACTCTGTAAAGATTCTGAAGAGATGGTTGTATGACCATCGCTATAACGCATATCCTAGTGATGCAGAGAAATTGGCGCTCAGTCAAGAAGCAAATCTTACTGTGTTGCAGGTGATAACATTTATATTAAGCACACATTGAAAATTGTTTTAACTAATTTATATTAACATCATAATAACATAACGATACCATAACATTTTCACAATTTAAGTTTTACGTAAATACACAACACATATGCATGAAATTAAGTATAATAATATATCCAACGTTGCACCTTGACTGCACGGATGGTGTAGTAGTTGTTCCTACTGCGCTATGTTGACACCACTTTGTGTAATCCACAAATTGTTGCTTTGTGTCTGGGAGTTATTTGTGTCCTTTTCATGTATATGTTTGTAAAGTCCCCCGCGACACAGGATACATTTTCCTAAGGCGAAGGTTGTCTTTTAAAAAAAAAATGTTTAGACTAAATAAGTGCTAATAAAATGCACAAAACCAGAAGCAAAAGTCTAAAACTAGAAAATTGAAAGAAATAAAAAAACGACAAAAACCAAACAAAGAAGGCACTAAGATTTGAGGTCGGCAGCATTGCTTCGTATGGAATGTCTGTATGATACGAATTTGAGAAGACAATAATTGAGGAAAAAAAGAGACTATTGAAAGTGATATTTAAAGTTGCGAACACAAATTGTTTACGTCAGAGAAGAATAATTCATTTCAAAACATTTTTAGGTATGCAATTGGTTCATAAATGCTCGTCGGCGAATCCTCCCCGAGATGATTAGGCGCGAGGGTCACGATCCTCTCCACTACACTATATCCCGAAGGGGTAGGAAACAACCTGGTGCCATGGCTGGAGTGGGACCTATGGTTGGTCTGGGAGGAGCATCCACATCGGGTCTGGGAGTTGCACCAGATAGTGTCACAGTGACAGCGTGGGATGGTATTGTTGTTGAGGTTTGTGTTACATGTTGTAATGTACGTAGATTCTGTGATAAGAATTTTATATAGTAGGATCATTGTGCTGTAGGCTGTGTAACGTTTTACGCATAGGAAATGTGATGTCAAACAGGATATTCTTGGAAAAGGCGTTTTATTTTTAGAATGGAAGAGGGGGCTTTTTCGGTTATTCATCCTTCTCATTTTCCATGATACTTCTTCGTCCACCTTACAAACTTCTTATTTGAGTTAGTTTACTTCATATTTATGGAGTTCATAGAATGCAAAACTGGTTGTGTTCACAGAATGGTGTGGATAGTCGAGCTCATGACTACGGAGATGGTTTACTAGTCTACCGAAGTGACGGTGATGAGCTAGGAGACGGAGAAGAGGGCTATTCAAGCACCATTAGCGAAGAGGAGGTCAAATATGACCCTTCAGTGTGGCAATCCGTTATACGATACGGGCCTGAGGACCACGATTTACACCCGGCTGCTAGAGAGTTAGTGAACTTTGGTTTTATTTTATACTAGCTAAGACCCGCGGTGTTACCCGCGTTTGTTGTTATAACCGCGGGCAACGCCGCGGGGCGAAGCTAGTCTAAAAAAGTAGCCTAAGTTACTCCTTATGTCATCAGCTATCTGCCAGTGAAAGTCCTGTCGAAATCGGTCCAGCCGTTCCAGAGATTACCCGGAACAAACAGACAGACAGACAGACAAAAATTGTAAAAAATGTTACTTTGGCATATATATAAACATACATATGCATTTAGTAAAAAGCGGTTATTTTAATATTACAAACAGACACTTCAATTTTATTTATTTGTATAGATAAAAAAGAGGTATTTATACTTGTATTGAAAAAAGTTAAATTGAATTAGGGTATCATGATTTCAGTGTACGGGTTTCAAGTTTCAGACTTGTGCGAAGTTTAAATATGTGTACTTATCAAATCAATTGACAACCATTAGATGCTTAATTATTATAAAAATAATAACCGCACACATCTCGCACACGGCCGTCTGATCCCAAACAAAGCAGAGCCTGAGTCAGACTGCTTATTACTATTACTTGATTGGTTGAATAGTGTTTCGTGAACTTTGCATGTTAATCCTAAAGACGAAGAACGGTTTTAAAACATCTTGTCAAATGGGATAAATTTTGCCTTAACTGTGTCTTGATCCATATCTTATAACAAAACAAATTTACTTGTACTGAATGTTCAGCAATCACTAGTGCAGTACTCATTTCTTATTTACTATTCGTGATCGCTATTCATCCAAGTCAACTAAAATGGCTTTACTTTCTTCACAACAATTTATTTTCCCTTATAGCAGCACAGCTTCAGTAGTGACTGTCACTACGACTGAGGACATGGCCGACCAGCCTCCAGAAGCAGTATCAAGTAGCGAAGAGTGGCAGGCGCTCAGCCACCCTCAGCTAGCGCACCTGCCGCAACTGCCACATCCGCTGCGCCGGCGCATGCAGGTGAGCCCGCCTCGACAGCCACCGCCGCCGCCCCCCGTCGCTGTGGAACTCGAAGTGGCCACCACTGACATGTGGTGCCATACTTAGCATTGTAACAATTTTGGTGACATTTCAGAAGTATTAAGTGTTGCCAAAGCAAAAATAATATAGTTTGAATACGAGATCAGAGACGTTGGAAATTCGTATTCATATTATGTTCTGAATGTGTGTTGTTTTAGAGATGCATTATTGATGAATAAACTTTAAGGAATCTAGAAGTTCTTAAAAGTTTCTTTAGATTATCTGTCTCTTGGTTACAGCATGCAGTAGTTACTATATTTAGTACAAATTTTATTAGTGTGTCAATTCGAATTTGTTAATATGACCTACTTTTAATAAGACTACTTAACAATGAGTGACGCCGGTCATTTTGGCCGTCGGTAATGCCAAGACACTTAATGAAATTTTCATTTTCAATGTATGTATCTCCTATAATTCTTAAATCTAAAATTTGCCGAGCAGCTAACAATACATTTTGAGAACAGCCATTTTTGTGTACTATAAGTTTCCTGTAGGCGACGTCGGTGTTAAAACACATAGCTCTATCAAATCAACCTACCTTTTATATCGCTAAGGGAACTAGTATTTTTGTTTGTTTTTAGCTAGAGACAAGTTTCTGTTTGTTGTGTAAATAAATTTTATATCGAACACATTTGATTTTCATTATAGTTTTGTTAACGTTTTGGTTGTCTAGTTGTTTTAATGCCGGCATCACCTGACAGTTGTACCATTTCTTCCTACTCTTTATAGTTTATTCTAATTTATTTTCCATCTTCTATTGGATCTATTCTAAATTCTTGGTTATAGTGGGCCTGATTTACCTTTTTTTGACTCGGGGTAATAACTTCAGGTGGTGCCTCGAGGAATGGAGGGAGATCAGGACAAGTTCAAGTGTCTATACCTCCTAGTGGAGACAGCTGTTGCTGTTCGTCAAAGGGAGAAGGAACAAGAGGAGTCTCTACTCCCTCTCTAGCTGTTACTGTACAATGTAATGAGCCAGACTTTTATTAGTTAAGTTTAGGTAAAATTAATCGACTATGTTAGTACATACAATTCTGATGATGATGAAAATTGATAACATGACGTGTGATGCATTTGTATCCTAATTATAACTTAACTGAATTAAAGAGAGGAAAAATACGAAGCCAATCTTGAAACCCTAAAGCTACATTTACAAGCTACATTACATGAGTGCACTTTCATGTCAATTCGTCTTGCATTAAGCATATGCATTTGGCACGCACAATGGTCAGTATGCTAAAGTACCTGTGCGCGCCCTCCGAACAACGAAGATCTAGTAATTAGGTACCCTGTTCTGTTTTTTGAGAAGTAATTAAATTAAGTAATTAATTGATTTGATTAACTTCATTTTATTATGTAATAAAAAACATGTGTTTTGCATGCACTATGAAGTGTGCTTAATGCTCGTGCTGCATGCACAAGAAGATGCAAGATGAACATGAAAGCGCTCTGGTGTGTACATACCTTAATAACCTTGAAAAGTTAACCAGGACCTCAATTCTGCTATTTCATGTTAACGCATAACATTCCATTAACATGCTATTGAGATGCCATTGAGATGCCATTAAAATCGGTGAAAATATCGGTATTCTGATAACATAGTGTCAATAGACTGTCGTTATAGCATTATATGTCATATATGGTGATATCAATATTGTAATATCATGAAAATTATCCATTTTCTTACAAATTTAATATGTAAGTGCCGTTTACCACACTATTACAATGACATCGACGACATTGACGACATTTGTATCAGTGACAAGTCATTGGGAGTCCATTAGTCTTAAATAGTTAGTAGAATAGGAAAAGTGCAAAACTATTCCGACGACATTCTATCGACGAGTCTATTGATACAATATTAAAAAAGCAGAATTGAGGCCCAGGTATATTTAAAAAAAAATCGAATGCAATGTCATTAAAAAATAATATTAGGAGGTATGTCAATGTAGAAAAAGGACTAAGGAAATGAGACACCTGTTTTCATACTGTATCGGTACAGCAAATTACAACGAGTTGTTTATCGATTTACTTAAATATTTAGCTTCCTATTTTATTTGTTTTATGACCTTATGTTTAACTTACCACCACACCACCACATTTGGTAAAATTTCACTTCAAAAAATATTTTATGCAGACAAAAACAGTAATTGATCACCATAATTAAAACCTTATTTTAATGTATGTAATTTTAACAAAAGAAATTACATTCTGCTATCCTATTAAAGTAAATGATTCCCAAACTAATTATAGTTAAACCTAAAAATAGTTAATAATCATCACCAAATTATTTATTTCAATGTCCTGTTATTTTATGGTTTAGAAAGGACCTTTTAGAATGCAAAGGTACTGGAACCCCGAGGGGTGTCTACCTTCCCTGTGGTTTAAAAAGAAAAAAACCACGAAGGCTTCGATCGCGCCTTATACATTCTAACCTAACTCGTCCATGTCGGGGCGGGTGCACAAGAGATTACGGAAGTAAGACATTGTGTTATTAAAGCAACTGTCTATGGTTAAAAAATTAAATATACTATTTCAAAAATCCTCTTCTTAAAAATTGTATGCAAACATAAAAAGTCAAAAGTAATAGTGCATTGGTTAGCTCGCTGAGATCTCGGTTTCATTTACTACAAATTATTTTTTAGTGTGCATTATATATTTAATCCCGTTATCTTGATCACTTTGTTTTAGAATTTGATAATGAAATCTTTAATCAGAATAAGGATAAGTACTTTAAAAAGCTTTTAAACCTATATCATTGTTTAATCAGTTACTTAATAGTTATTCACATATTTTCTAATAGGATAGCTTTGTATCGTTAGGGAATATAATAATAAAATATGTATGAAAATATAATATATATATATATATATGGGTATTTTCGTGTGATGAAATGATACTGTAGTATGCATGTTGAATGAGTAAATCGAGGTTTAATCGATGCTTATATCGTGGTGTATGAAAGTTTACAGGAAAAGTTTTCCTGTACTATATCTAAATGAACTATTTCGAACCATTTGTATATCTCCTACTACTCAAGGTTGGATAAACTTAAGTTTAAACTTAAATTTTCTGGACATTGTCGAATTTCAAATTTTAAAAGTTCAAATGAACATCTGAAAATTATAAACAATAAAGACTAGCCCCTGATCAAAAGTGTAAAGAAGAATAGTTTTTAAAATCCGGGTCATGTCTCATCATCATCACACAACGTTATTTTTGTAGAAGTAGGTATGAAAATAACCCAATACGTTACGGTATACGTTACGCAATAATCCTTCCCTGGCAGTCTCAAACTCAAACTCGCCAATTGATATCAATTTGACGAGTTTTTTATTACCAGTTTTGTGTCCTCGCATTCAATATTATATTTTGGATCTGATGAGAATTTATGACCATTATACAATTTGTCTCCGTTGTAATAAATTATAGCGATTATCCTGGTGTATAATTCTAATAAATTCATTTGTTGCTTACCAAGTGTCTGATAATGAGTTCAACGCTAACTGAATATAAGTTAAAGATTGTTCAGAACCCTCTATATACAAATAAAGCCAGTATTATTGTAGTCCAATTATTCAATATATCATAAGTGATGTTTTTGTTTGATATACTAGAGGATAAGCATATTATTTTTATTATAATAAGTAGGTACGAATACTTTGTACTCTTTCTAGAATAAGATGGAATGTTTTGTTAATTAATCGTAAATAAATTGAATTTTAAAATTATCGGAATTTATTAATTTATTTCATTTTATGATTGTAAAATTATTTTTAATTTACTGATGGAAAAGACCAACCCCAATGGAAAAATAATTAAGTAGCATTCCTTGGAGGGATGTTATGACTATTATAATTTGTTTTCAAAATTTTTGATTACTGATTTGCCTTCCTCCCCCATAAATTGAATTGTTTGCTTAAAAATCTGAGTTGTTAAGAACATGACTGAGATATGATAAAATAGTTAGTATAAAAAGGGCGCATCTCGCCCTCAAACATCAAAGATTGGCGAGGTTAGAATTTATGTAAATATTGTGATTAATAAATAAAAAAGGAGCCCTACAATTCCTTATGCCCAATACACACTTGACCTATTTTTTATATACCTACTTACGTAGCAGGAAAAAGTGAGCTTGCCATAACATCTACCTTCGTACCTTTTGTAAGCAGCAGGTACAATACAACTTGGTATTACTAAGATATCTTGACGTCGTGGCCCTCACCCCATACCCTGTGGGATTATATAGTGTTAGAGTATAAGTGTTAGACCAAATAAACTTGAACATGAAATCTCATGGTTCGGTTCTCCCCAGAGAATGAGGCTACCCGTTGGGCTCCTGTATCCTCAAAGATCCGGCGATCCAAAGGGATTTTCGACCATGCCTACAAAAAAAAATGCTGAATAAATTTGGTATCGTAAATTAATCAATTACATAATAATATTTTCTGTGTACCCCTGTTTTATGATCCATAAAGTATTTATTAATTTCATGAATTTATTTTAGACCGATCTAACATTGTTTACATTTAGTTTATGGAATTAAAAGAATGGCGTAAACAATTACGTTTGCCTAATTTTTAAATAATATTAAACCTACATTCAAAATACAAAAATATAATAGCGGAATAGTGAGTGGTAGATAAATGGAGGAGAAATTATGTGTAAGCTGTGAAGAGCCTGTGATTGATAAACAACCCCCGTGTCCATTATCATGCATGTCACCGAAATGTAAAGCTTATCAAAATAATGTAAGTTTATTCAGTATTTATTCTCACCTCTCAAAAATTCTATTTATCAAGCAATCTGTTTCGAGGATATTATGATATAAACACTTCAATGGTGTATCCAATCATCAATACTAAAACTGAACCAATTCTCGAGAAAGGTCATAGGTTACTTAACACAATGCCACGAAAATTAGCAGGAGCAGAATAAACGTTTGTTAAAAGCCTGTAATTACTTGGTAAAACCAAATGCCGCCATCACACGTGTAACTTTTTTGAAGACACTGCTCCTGCACTAGGAACATTTCCTATGTCGTGGGGGACTTTACAGACATACATGAAACGGACACAAAGAACACCCAGACTTAGAACAACAATTTGTGGATCATACAAAGTTTCGCCCCAGGTGGGGATCGGACCCACAACACTTAGCGCAGTAGGAAGCGGCGTGGCGACATCTTAAACCACTACGCACTCCGTGCAGTCAACACTGTTAAATGTTGAACAGTCAGGTGATCGGCCTGTGTGACACAACTCGCTACTATTCTAATATAGGCCAGAAAGTACAAATGTTCTTCTTTTTCCAGAGAGTAATCAATGCCCGCAAAAAACCCATCATTTGGATTATAGGGGGTCCTGGTTCTGGCAAGAGTACACAGTGTGAGAAAATTGCCAAGAAATATGAATTCACGCACGTGTCCACTGGTGACGTAGTGCGCGCTGAGGCAGCCAGTACTTCGGATAGGGCCAAATGTCTTAATACTGTTTTGGCTCGAGGTATGATTTGATTGTATTTTCAGTTAACAAAATACTTTGTGAGGTGTTGTACCATATTCCAAAAATCCTGTAGCTTAAACTAGCTACAGTTTCTTCAGTTGTAAATAAAACTGTTGAGAATAGTTACACTTTACGTTAAGGAACGTATTTAAAAAAACGAAAAAACATTACTCGAGCGTTCAACGCGCAGAACAACAAAGTTAACGGTATAATATACCCTTATAACCACGGAGCAAATACAAAGAGGGGGTACGGAGCAGATACATAAACAACTGTGCACTGTGATTCTAAGTAGGTCCTGACTTCATCACAGTAGGCGTGGCTTAAAATTGGTACACTCAGCGTCCTTAATGTGCGCTTGTGTTGCAAAATTGCAAATCGGATATTTTCGTTATGTTAAGAAGAAAAGGATGAATAAAAAAATAAATAAAGGAAATTGTACTCTGGCTGACAAAAAAGCACAAATTAAAAAATATATCATAATACTGTTTTCCTCCATAGTGGGGTAACAATAAGACAAAAAGATAAGCGAAAGATATAAATGTAATATATGTAATGTAATGATAAATGAATAAGAGATCAAATTATAAAGATTATTCTTAATTTATCACAAACGTTATTATTCTGACACTAAATTTAAATCGATCTAAGTGGCGTGCAATGGGAGAGGCCTATGTCCAGCAGTGGACTGCGTTAGGCTGATGATGATGATGATGTTTTTATTCTGACACTAGCAATATCCAACGCCTATGAGTCCAGGTAATAATATATCTGTATACCAAATACGTCCAGCCGTTTCAGCGGGAAAAATAACACATACAAGAGTACATAGCGTGGGATAAGTCAACGATAACGAAAGAACACATAAATTTTCGCTTTTATAGTATCAGGGAGGTTAGTACGATTCTAATATAAGCAAGATTTTTGCAACAGAATTATGAAAATTAGCCTTTAAAAAAACTTACTGATACGAAAATTCTGAGTACGTCCCTAACATCCTACACCTAGTGTCATCACATCAACAGCCTTTAATAGTCCTCTGCTAGACATATGCCTCTTCCTAGAAAGTAGGTTTTGGCCTGCTATACCACGCTGGCCAGTCGGGGTTTGTGTCAAGTTTTCCTTCTTTTTGAAGTGTTGATGTCCTGCGTTGTTTTGCGCCCTTAGTCGGCTCTTATGACACCCACGGGTACACTTGTGTGATAGCTAAACTAAATAGCAACATAGACACAGAACGATGCAAGTAGTTTGGCTATTATTTGGTAGATGGAAAAAAGTGAAGTGGGCGGATCTTAACACCCCCTCACCCCGCAAATTGTCACGCTTTCCTGGGGAAATCTAATTACAACACCTCCTCTTTATATTTGCTCCGTGCTTATAACCCTTCGCTTACAGGAGGTCTAGTTCCAACTGACGTAGTCCTAGATATAGTCAAAGATGTGATGCTGAAAACTATGCACAATACAAAAGGATTTGTCATAGATGGCTATCCACGCGACAAGAATCAAGGCATGGCTTTTGAAAGGACCATCGCTCTGCCATCAGTAAATATCTATATTATATTTGATTTTAGAAATAGATAGATAGAGATAGAGTACTGAAGAACATACTTATTTATTACCAAATACATACACATTATTATATAGATAAATTACATCCAGTCACAGAAGAAATAAAGGATCATGCTCGTCATATATTCTTTAGTCCTGGATGGGAATTGAAGCCGCTCCCTTTGGCTTCGTAGTCGAGATCCGACCTCCTCCTTCTGCAGTCCTGATCCTGGTCATGGTCTAGTGTACACGTAATTGTTTAATTGAATTAAAAAATAATAAGAGAAGGTTAAAAAGGTCCAAATAAGTCACAATTGATTTACTTGTCCTTGCGTCCAAATTAAATCGAAACAAAAAATGGTATTTAGTTTTACCTATATTGAACACTATCAAAGCTGGTCTATTAGTCCGGTCAAAATAAACATTCACCCTTGCATAAATTACTAAGAAGCATGAACGTTAGGGATACTATTATAATTAAATTGTATTTATTTATTTATTTTATTTATTTAACTTAATGCACAAGTTGTACACAGGCGGACTTAATGCCCAAGGCATTCTCTGCCAGTCGACCTTCGGGTGATGTAGAAAAATGATGCTGTAGGTGCAAGAGAAAACAGAGAAGTATTGTACTTTGCTTGTATGTACCTAATAACGTATCACCTATACGTCACCTAAAGAACATTGTGCAAAAATTACACTAAGACTAAGAAAGTATTTTATATAGGGGTAGGAAATTTATATGAAACTTCGTTATTTTTGGTAGTAGCGTTTTCAAACCCACAGTAAATACTCTTAATTAAAAATATCTTAAAAAACGTTGTTACAAACTTTTGAAAACTACCTTTAAAAAGGGGTTAAGTTTGTATAAAGAATATACCTAAAATCTTGATTTTTAGATTACCACGCGGACGAAGTCGTGGGCAAAAGCTGGTAAAACAATATTTGATGTTTCGGTTGTATACGTCAGGTGTACAGAACCCGAAGGTTTAGTCTCAAAAACTGTTGCTTCTTTTGCGGCGATGAATTTAATGAAGAATATGAAAAGAAACGAGTACAGAAATTTCGGCGTAGAATTTGCAAAGTTTCTACACTTACACAAGTACACTTTCTTTAAAGAAAATATATATATGAGCTCAAATGTTGAATATCTAACAGAAGAAGATCCTTACATCAACGACGAAACAACTGACGTATCGCTGTTAGAAAAAATTACATCACCTCAAGGAGATAGAAGAAGAAGAAGATGAAGAAAGAGAAGAACAAAAATGAGAAGAAGCAGAACAAGTTGATTGAGAAGACCTTACATTCTATTAAAATTAAATAATACAGAACATGGAGTAAGCCCACTGGGGAAACCACGATAAAAAAAACGCGATAAGTACTATCTCATAGGTGGCGTGGGAACGTGTGCATATTATAGTAAATTCAGCAATATTATAGTGAAAACAGCTTCAGTAAATTTTTGAATCGATTTTTCTCAAAAATGGTAAATCTTAAGGGAAAAAGTGCAAGGACAATTATGTAGATAACTATGTGATCTACATTTTTGTCTAACCTATTTTAATCATGTAACCAACCATTTCGGTAAAAAAACCCATTTTTGCGAAGTAAGACCTTGCATACAATTTTTTTGCACACATGGGATCGATGGGTATTCTTCATAATTTCATTATAATGGTATCCCTAACGTTCGTGTAAAAATTCAGCTTCTTGTAAATTTATGCAAGGGTACCCCTATTTTTCGCGCTAACTTGACCGGACTATATACTACATTTTTATTGTTACTATATTTTTATCCTTAAAATATACAATACAATTAATTATTATTTTCAAGCTTGCTAATTTTAGTAATTTTTCTATAGTCCTGTATCCTCCCTTCTCCAGGTCATATTTTACTTCGAAGCTAGCCCTGAAAATCTTCTGAAACGTTTGATGGCACGCAAGGACAAATCTAGCCGTATTGATGACACCGAGGAGACGATCAAAATGCGTATCCAGACCTTCTTATTACACGTCCAAGATATTCGTAATGAGTACAAAGGGAAAATGACAAAGGTGAGCTTTAAAATTTACGTATTTAAGCTATCGGAGTATACCCATAAGCTATAGGGAATCGGAAACTTACTGCTTTTGATTTTACAAGAAATGCAGGCTTTTATTTATTTATTTAATAAGTGGCGAATATGGAACAATCCAACTGTTGTCGACAACGAAATCCATTCTTTTCACTTTTGTTGTGACAGTTCCACCGTTGTCATCTGGTGATCGACGCCGATACAAAAAAAAATACGGAATAAATAGTATCCTATGTCCATCTCCTGGCTCTAAGCTACCTCCTCACCAATTTTCAGCCATATCGGTAAAGCCGTTCTTGAGTTATAAATAGTGTACTAACACAACTTTCTTTTATATATATAGATACTTTCTCTGTATTAAATTGCACTTAACGTTGTATCACGTAAAATTGTATGTATACCTACTTCGACCTTTGGGTGGTGCAGTGGGACGTGCCAGTTTTTCTCAATACTAAAATGGCCAGATGGTCTAGCAATATCAGTGGCGGTTAGGGTATTAGGTTTTTGTACAATTTTTGTAAAACATTGAAATATGTAAAAGCATATGTGTATGTAATAAAGTAATAATAGAAGGAAAACTTGTAACAAACCCTATACCAACCCGTCTGGCCAGCGTGGTATAGTAGGCCAAAACCTCCTTTCTACGGAGAGGCCTATGTCCAGCAGTGGACTATTATAGGCTGTTAATGTGATGATGATGATGTTGTAATAATAACATACCATCAGTACTACATAATTGAATTGTGAGGGTTAAAATCATTTCGTTTCATAACGGAGACAAATACACCCTAAGTTAGTTTATTAATAAACTGATTTTAAGATTAATAACAAGAATATTTATACTACACTAGCTGTGCCCTGCCACACTTCGCTGTGGCACATTGTGGCCGCATTCTTAAAAATTGATGAACATAACTCAGTCGAAAAATAGATAAAAACCATATTTGGAGCTGGTTGTATTTCATGTTAAAATTTGACCTCAATCGGTGCAGAAGTTTTAAAGTTTTTAAAGCGTACTTAAATTTTTTATACAAAATAAGATTTTGAAAATAAATTGACAGTTGATATCGTGCATTATATATGCTACGGATAATGCTAGAAGACGGAGTAGATTCGACTATACCCGGGTTTACCTTTTTTAACTTTTAAGCCAGCGTTCGATAGACTTAGATGAGTATGCAATGAATTGCAATGAATATTCGGACTCGAATTTAAAAAGTTCGGGTATTTTTTAATTTATTTGGGAAAAATAAACAATAGAGTATACATATGATATCCTTATAACTAAACTTAACTAATATACTACCCACTAGATTTTGCACAGATATCTTATAAAATAATTCCATTGTTAGCAGACATGGGCTACTGCCGACGCATTTAAATAAACCAGAAAATAAACCAAAAACTCAAAACAGAATGTTGGTAACTGCGATAAATAAAGTATTACTTAAACATACAATAGATAAATTACATTAAACTTCTATTGCCTGCTGCCGATCCTCTAGTACCGCAATTATATTCCTTTTAAATTTAATCCTACTAACATATAATATATCGATTGCACTAAAATGCTTACTGTATGTCGTGTGTATCAACTATATGGTAAAGAGGCGAACGCAGACTAGAATTTGTGTTTTTCAGCGTCTAGTCGCAAATTGGTGTTTGGTTAGCACGTACTGTTCGAAGAACCAGGTAACACAAATTATTCACCAAGTCAGGACAATCCAATTTACTAATAGTCCGGTCATTTTAGACATAAAAATAGTGATCAAATAAAAAAAGATCCGACAGAGCCAAATCTTTGTAGAGACCTTAGGTTTACCACAAGGAATAAAGTGTCAAAAGTCCCCATCAGTCCCATGTGAGCTTAGGGACTTATTCGGGGCCCAAGGTCAAAATTTTAGGTTTTTTTAGGTTATTTTAGGATTTTAAGTTTTATCGAAAAAGTACCTCAGAGCAAAGTTGTAGATCTTACAATTCTCTATAAAAATGGTCCCTATGATTTTTTCTCTAAGACCCACTATTTCCCAGATATTGCGCTTGTAAGAATCACGTTCTACATAATATGCACACATTTCCAAACCACCTGTAAGGTAGTGTACTCGGCGCGTTTTTTTTAACGTGGTATCCCCGGTAGGCCTATTCCATACATATATATTCTATACATTGATATCAGCATTATCTGCAACATATTGAACAAATGTGCCAGTTTCTGGGGATAAAATGTGAGGTGGGCGACTGAAAACTGCTGCTACTTCATACTTCATTGTTTCACTGTAAGATGCGCATAAACCAAACGATGAGAAAATTTGTATAAGCCGTTTTGAACCAAACCGCCGATGGAAAAAAACTGAAAGACCCAGCTGTAATTTAGACTTGAAGGATCTAGGACGAACAGCAGTCATTATGCTATGACTAATATTTGTGCAAACTAAATTTAAATGATCCAAATCATGACGCTTATTTTTAAGAATGATTTGTCCCAAAAAAAAGATAATGATTCGGGAATATAGTTATTTATATCTTCAAACATTCTACCCGGTGGCGGGTACATAGTATTATCAAATATACAAGATTGAATATCTTCTCGAATAATTTCTGCCGCAGCTTTTAAAGTTTTCCACCGTTTTTCCTTTTCATTCAAGTTTTTGTTATCAGACCAGGCTTGACTTAAAATGTCTTGGTAATTGTCTACAAAACAAATAAATGTTAAGGCTTCTCTGTAATAATAATTCTACTACCATACTTTAATTTCAATCGTATTTTTATAATCCCGTTTTCTAAAGCTACATTTTGGCAAACATTCTTCAGTTCATCTAACGAAAACTGGCAGTCATCGCTACTTTCAATGAAATTGAAAATTTCCTCCATTGCAGAGTTTATAGCCTCACTTTGAGGACGGCCAATTTTACCGCCAGTATTAGGTCTCAGGAAGGATTTGTAACAACTGTCATGGTATTTAGCGTCAGCAGCAACTAAATCATACTGAAAATTAATACGCGCAAAGAGCTTTTGACACATCATCAGAACGATCTTTAGCTAATTTTAAAATGGAATCTTTAATGTAAGTGTAGAAACTTTATGAATTTTTCGGCGATAAATCTTCACTATCTTCTTTTCTGCTTCTTCATCCGCTTCATCGCCACAAAATAAGCAGTGGTTTTTAAAACAAAAGCTGGATTCACTTATTCGCGCTCTAGTATGAGGTGGACTTACTTTTGAAGTACTGACCTGTTCTTCCTCACGTTGTCTTTTTGATGCAGAGATTGAAGTTTTCCGGGTGTATGATTTTCTGCAATCCACTTGAATTGTAACGGACTTTTGGCTTCTTAAATAATCAGCAAACTCATCACTTCTCGCGACACTTGCATTGATTAAAGTTGGTATTCCACGACTGACCACAACAGTTTCATCTTCAGTCAAAAGTTTATTACAAGTAAAGCAAAATTGTGACATTTTTTTTTAAATATTAATCAGCACTAACTTCAATAGTAGACGCTTGTAATAAATACGTATAGTCACTCGAACTGCTCGTTCAACACTAAAAGAAGCAGGTATACGTGAACGACACCACATGGACAAAAGAATAGGCAGATGTTTTTCAAGGCCAGATTTTACTCAAGTAGAGGGGATTCGGTAAGGGACCGGCGGTCTTTTTAGAGTAAATTTTCTTAGAATAGTATAATGTATACATAAAAGAGACACGAGTAGGCATTTTTGCTTGCTTGAGTACCTAAATATGTATATGCCACGTATATACGTGGCATATGTGTGCATACTATGTAGAACATGATTCTTACAAGCGCAATATCTGGGAAATAGTGGGTCTTAGAGAAAAAATTTAGGGGTGGTCCCTATAATTTTTAATTATATATTATAATTTTAATTTTTTTTATAGAGAATTTTAAGATCTACAACTTTGCTCTAAGGTACTTTTTCGATAAAACTTACGCTTTCGAGAAAAATCCAAAAAACCTAAAATTTTGACCTTGGGCCCCGAATAAGTCCCTAAGCTCACATGGGACTGATGGGGACTTTTGACACTTTATTCCTTGTGGTAAACCTAAGGTCTCTACGAAGATTTGGCTCTGTCGGAATTTTCTTTATTTCAGTTGTCTAAAATGACCGGACTATAAGTAGGTACATCCGGGTAAACTCAGGTTTAAGCAATCTTCTAGCATTACCCATAGTATATACACATAATTATGAGTAGCAGAAATCAGCCAAAACCCTTTACCATGTAAATGTATGAAAAGCTGAATAGTTATTCGGTAGTATCTAAAACGCCTGTGGAGAAGGATGATCATATTAAATTTCGTGTTTCAGATAAACGCAGACGCGTCTCCAGATGAGATTTTTTCTCAGGTGTCGAAAATTATTGATCCAATCGCGGAGAATGCTAAAACCGCAAATGCCTCATCTGTTCATCAACTGCCAACGTCTATAGAGCTGCCTTGAAGCAATTGTCCACGACCACATTGACATTAAAATATTTGAAATCTTTTTATTTAAGATTTACGGTTTTACTCACGCGTGTGAACGAAAAAGTCGGGCATCCCAGGTTTATCAGAGACTATAGATATATCACTTAATTGAGTCCTCGCTTGCGAGCGCTCGCAACGTGATAAAAACGCACCTGCCGCTCGCACCTTTCCCCCCGCGTTCTCATCTACCTACTTACATCCGCACCCCTGTACCCCACAGGCTCAAATAAGTGTTTTATCTATACTTTCGGATCCGAGGAAATTCTACCTACAATTCTAGTACAATCATGTATCTTTAATAAATATGAACGCCACTAAACCAAAAGTTTTTATTCTAAAGTTATAAAAATTATACACTTCATATTTATATGATAATGAATCAAGAAAAAGAAGTTAGGTGAACAGCTTTTACTCAGGTTTCCCAAGAAAATGATCACTGGTCTACTGATAACACACGTTATTCACGATCACAACTACCAGTACATGTATAGACAATGTAGTGGGGCGTTGTGATTTAAGCGGGCGCCACGGCGTTTCCTACTACGCTGAGTGTTGTGGGTTCGATCCCCACATGGGACGACACTGTTTGATCCACAAATTGTTGTTCTGAGTCTGGGTGTTCTTTGTGTCCGTTTCATGTATGTTTGTAAAGTCCCCTGCTACACAGGATTTATGCCTAGTACGGGAGTTGTCTTTTAAAAAAAACAAAAAAAATCTTTCACACGCATAAAATTATAAGATCTTAAATGGTTTTCATTTTCCAATAAACCATTATGTCCTTGATATATAATATTCCCTTCGGCCATATTAGAAACTAATGATTGGAAACCAGTTGCCAAAACAGAATTATTAATCTTTTATCGAAACCTGGTTTTTAATAAAGAAAAATATTTGTGTTTTCGAAACTGGCTACCAACATAGAATGTTGGATCTTCTTTTGAAGCTTTGCCAGTAATCATTCCTGGATTAGAAAGAATTTTCTGGCTGTCCAGGAAATACCAGCCACACCACCTTTTTTTGTAGAAATAAATTCTATTACTGTACTAATTTTAATACAATTTCAGAAAGTAACCACTCTCTTGCTCGAACTAAATATTAAAAAACCCGGTCAGGTATGAGTCGAACTCGTGCGCCGAGGATTCCGTACCTTCCCAGATTTTACGTAGATTTTCGTGAAAATTTTTAAGTAACAAAATTTATCTTAATTTTCAACTTTTTTTATTTTTTGGAATTATTCCTTTTTTTGTGCTGTAAGACGTTTCTTTTTACCAAATTTCGTGATTCTAGGTCAACGGGAACTAATATATAGGTTTTCGACCCAAAACCTATAGGGTACTTCCGGTTGACCTAGAATTGTCAATTTTGGTTAAAAGCAAGGTCTTACAGCACAAGTAAAGAGAAAATTCTGAAAAATAAAAAAAGTTGAAAATTATGGTAAATTTTGTTACAAGTTTTCGCGAAAATGGAAATTTGCCCGTATCTTTATATCGTGTTGACTCAGGACCTTGATTTTTATACACCTAATAGAGAACATAGACCTCAGTATCTGGTATAAATTTCACATTGCTAGGTCTACCCGTTCCTGAGAAAATCGGTTGTGACACACGGACAGACGGACAAGAAAGTGATCTTATAAGGGTTCCTTTTTTACCTTTTGAGGTACGGAACTCTAAAAATCAATTCATGTAGGATTAAATAATCAACACGACATTTTTCATTACTGGTTGTGGGATGACTTTTTAATTTTTAATTAGGGATTATTTCTAATTAAGGATTGTAGGTTGAAAGCGTTTCGAAAGAAGATCAAACCTTAGTTGGTAACCAGTTTCGAAACCATAATTATTTTTCTATATTGGTAAACGGGTTCGATTAAAGAGAAATAATTATGTTTTGGAAACAGGTTTCCAATCATTAGTTTCCAATATGGCCGAAGGGATAATATTTAGCATTTTATTTGTATATAAATATCTATATCTAAGAAATTAAGTATAGAATTTAAGATGAGATCTAGTATTGCAAGTCTAGTTTAGATATCGAAAGCGAGAACCCGTACCATACCGTTCATTCGATAATTTTTGTAGTCACTATTTCTATCTTGTACCTATCGAAGATAAAAGACGAAATAGTTAAGAACTTCCTTGTTTCCTTTTAGGGTACTAAACTCTTAAACAGTTTAATTGGGAGATATTTTTATTATCTTAATATATATAAATCCCCTGTCACGATGTTTGTCCGCGATGGACTCCTAAACTACTTAACCGATTTTAAATTAAATTGGCACACCGTGAGCAGTCTGGTCCAACTTAAGAGATAGGATAGCTTAGATCTTTAATTATAGTCGCAATTTTATTTTATTGCAAATTATTAGTCTATAATTAATTGACAGTCACAATTATCTGTTAACTCCAAAAGATTCTAACAGATGTCGATACTTTTCGACTGGATTGAGTAAGTAATCAATAGATGGCACTGCTATGGTAAACCGACATAATGTATATGGCAAAACAACGTTTGCGGGGTCAGCTAGTAATAATATATAAATAAGTTGTCAAATGAATACAGAGTTTGAAAAAACAAGTCTCTTCAGTTTATAACGATGGCAGGGTGTGGACGGGCCATGATCGGGTCAAGAATTTTCTTTACCTCGGAGAATATTGCATCTACTGTCTGCTCCGCGTTTATCTGAAAATGAATCAATGGTATAATGTGACTACCAATAGGTAATTAATATTGCATTTCGAGAATTGATCTTCACTATGTATATCACTCCATCACTGTGCGCTTTTCAAAAAGCTTTTTGCCTTACACTACCAATCTGTGGAACGAATTGTCGCCTGCGGTGTTTTCTGTACATATGGGTAAGATATTCGAATCAATAAAAAACGAATAAACCAAACATGTTCTGCAAATCAATACCATCCGGCATCCTTTTAAAATATCAAGGCTGTTTCGCATCTTACTCACTCTGCGCAATTTACTTGGATATTGATCCAGTACTTGTTGATTATTGTCGAGAAAGGTCTGCATCCGCAGTTTAATTGTCTCCTCATTGTCATCAGATCGGCCTGAAGTCAACGCTCGGCCTAGAATTCGTTTGGTAAGAGTGTCACATGAGGCCTCAAAATAGAGGATCACCTGGATAAAGTAAAAATAAATAATTACAATTGGTAAATAGACTATTTTAAGCATGAAACTATTGCAGAAACCTAAAATTTGAATTCATACTAAGATTTTGTAAGCTTTTTTCTAGATAAAGGACAAATCAATAGCTAACCATCGTCTTTACAATAGTATTTGAATCTCCTTTTTAGACAAGTCTTCTTATTCGAAACCGATTCTTAACGTTACTTATGAGGAAGAGAATTTGGATTTCAATATAAAATACTGCACTTTATACACTTACGGTAACAGGAGCGATAGCCCTTTCGAACTGCATGCCCTGGGATTTTTCGCGCGGGTAACCGTCGATAAGAAATCCGTTGGCTTTAGTAATTCGCGCCTCTATTGCTTCCTTCAAAAGGTCCAGAACTACATCATTGGAGACTAGCTGGCCTGGATGAGGACAGTAAGTATTATTTTGTTTATGAAATTGAAACAGCTAGAATCTTCATGAGAGTTTATATATATATGTTGTATTATAATACGATTCTCAGGCCAATACACCATAATGGGAACAATGGGAGCTTCCTTAAAGAATGAATGTGTGAAAGTCTTCCCACATCTTAAGGCAATTTTTTTTAATAAAAAACTGTCGTTGATATCAAATATTTAGCTAAACTTTTCTTTACCTTTCTTCATAATAGCGTTGAGGGATTTGCCCCTTTCGGAGCCAGTCTTCACCTCATCACGCAGCAAATCACCAGTCGATAGGTGAATGAAGCCATACTTAGCGACTATCTTGTCGCACTGAGTGCCTTTGCCAGAGCCAGGTCCGCCTAGAACCCATATTATGGGTTTGCTGGCGAGTCGCAGAGGTGGCTGAAAATAATTGTTTACTTTTTTGACGTCACATCTTACCACGTCGACTTGTTCTGTCATTAGAGACCATATTTACCACTTCACTTAAGATTAGGAGTATGAAAACTTTATTCCAACTTTACCATAAATCGAGAAAAGAGCTGGTTTCTTTAATAAATGTAATTAAATTCTTACCTTAGCGCAATGGAGATGCCTGAGTACACATGGTAATGGACATTTTTTTCCCTCTGCATTTGGCTTGGTTTGACTTGACATAGTTTAGTTAGTATGGGTAGGTAGTGTAGGATGAAGGTAAAGGTGAAAGATATAAAATTACATTTTGATTGCTATTATTGTGATATTAAATTGCAATTTTAATGGAATTGCTACATGACACTCAAAGAAATTAAAAAAAAACGAGGACTATGTTCATGGTTTCATTAAAATGGTTGACAGATTGTCAGATAACTTTTTTATAATAAGTAGACTCGCAAAAATTAGGAAGGCTATGGAATTAACGTCTCTGTCTATTCTAAAAAGGTTTTATTTAACTTGCCCTGTTGTTATTTTTAAGTCGAATGTAGTAATTGTAATAAACAAAATTGAAGGTAGTAGGAAGCTAGGTATAAATTCCATTAATCATTTCCTATCGGCCGATAGTTCGTAAAATGTTTTAGAGAATTGTATCCTGGTGAACGTCAACTACGGTACTATGGTGGTAGCTGGAGGAGAGGTAGACTCCCCCGCACATGTAATAAATAGTTATTGAGTGAGACTTGTAAAATTCTAAATTATTATAAGCCTAAATGGCAGAACATAGTTAATCATTCCACTACTGTAAACATCCTATATTTGTTTCACAATAAATATTGGTTAATTGATTGATGGTTGAAAACTTGCCTGTCGCTTTCCTGCAATTTGCGACTTAATCAAAATTGATGAAAGTCTATAACAGTGAGCCGGGGACTTAAATCAATTAAAAGTTGGATTTGATTTAAAAATGGTCTCAACCGATACATAGTATACTACTACACCTCTGTGACATTCAGGACTTAGTTTGAAACACACTGACTGACAAATACGGGTTATGCGTAGATACTTCGTCCGACGTTCGCAGTTGGTCACATTAGCATCACATCACATCAACAGCCTTTAATAGTCCACTGCTGGACACAGGCCTCTCCTTAGAAAGGAGATTTAGGCCTACTATACCACGCTGGCCAGACGGGTTGGTATAGGGTTTGCATCAATTCCGCGAGGGGGCGGCGTCCGCGTGTGCCGGACGCCGCCTAAAGAGAGGGTCCACTGAGACGGGGCCCGCACCAGGAGCGGGCCGGCGCTGGGAAGGGTCCAGAAGGAGATAGCTACCTGGACCCTTCCTAAACTGGAAGCGCAAAGAGGGCACACCGTGTGGTTTTAGTCGGTTCGAGTCCGACACACCGCCCCGCCGAACGAGAGCCCCGGCGGGGTGACGGTCCGAGGGGATTTCCACACGTAAAAAAAAAAAAAAAAAAAAAAAGGGTTTGCATCAATTGTCAAATTGTCTTGCGTAGTTTGTTCCCTTAGTCGGCTTTGACGATACCCAGGAGATAAATAGGGAAGGTGACACTCCGTATTCTTAATCCGTCACCACACGGACTAATCCTTTCTTAGCCTTTCTCCTTAGAATTAGCAATTCGTTCTATTTGTACTTTTTCCATGCATTTAATTTATATGGAGGCCAAATAAGCAGACAGATCACATCATTGAGAATACCGCCTCCCATGGACAACTGTGACTCAGTCACAAATGCGTTTGTGGCTTTCGAGGAGAATGTCCGCAGGCACCATTTTGTTCCACAAACTGATTGTGCAGACAAATACTGTCTTGAAAAGCGTCAGTGGTGTTATGCTAACAATTACTCATGAAGCTAATGAAGACTGACGAAACAAAAACATATTTTAATAACGATTCCATTAAAATTAATGTAGAATATTGATTATGTACAGATTATATAAAAAATTGTGCATTTAGTTAGCCGCGACAGCAGCCGCGCTGGTGGTAATCGGGTCTAGGATCTTCTCCACCTCCGAGAATATGGCGTCCACACTCTGTTCCGCGTTTATCTGGAAATTAACACTTAAATATTAAAACGCAAAAACTTACTTAATATTACCAAATCAACGATGAAACGTTCTAACCAATTGTCCCAAAATTCGAAAGCCGTACTGTCGAAATTTGAGTTATTCCATAAAATAAAGAGCTGCGTATTGTTTATTCTTTTTGTTTTCATCACTCTTTTAAAGTTGCCATACACAAAAAAAAAGAAAATTGGACTGCAAATAGAGAAAATAAAAGAGCGTACACGTTCCAACCAATCTATGGAACGTGTTAGCGTCTGCGGTATTTCCGGACCGATACGACTTTCAAACTATCAAGGAAAGAGGTCACTCCTTCCAAAAAGGCTGACAACGCCTTTGTGACTACTGAGTTGCAGACGGTCATTGGCGGCGATGGTCACTTTCCATCAGGTGACGCGCCTGCCCCTCTAACATAAAAAAAGGAGAATAGGGAACAGTTTTTTTTATTTATTTATACAAATAAAACAAATTATTTTGTCGTATATACTGAACGTTCTTTAACGTTCGTAAAAGTGTATTCTAATAATTCTCTGAATTCCCTAAGAGCTGAGCAATGACTTAAAACGCAGGTGGAACTAAATAAAACACGGCTTCTTACCCTGCAGAGTTTGTCAGGGTACTGGTCCAGCACTTGTTGGTTGTTGTCTAGGAAGGTCTTCAGGCGGAGCTTGATGGTCGCCTCGTTGTCGTCGGCGCGGCCCGAGCTCAGCGCGCGGCCCAACAGGCGCTGCGTGAGAGTCTCACTTGACGCTTCAAAGTAGATTATGACCTGTTGACCAAGAATTGGTGTATCAAGAGAGAGGAAAACTCATGATGAATGACTGCAAGGATGGCGTAGTGGTTTAAAAATAGATTTTTTTTATTTTTTTTATTTTATATAAAATTTTAAGCTCAACTGGAGTGATACCACGGCCTCACAGAAAACCGGTGTTAAGCAATTCTTTTGTTGCCTTTCACTGAATGAGTGAGGTTACCGGAGCCCAAATCCCCCCTCCCGCTGACTCGAGCGAGAGGGGGTGGTTTAACAGTAATATATTCTTTAATTCTTATTGCTATCCTATCAAAAAATAACGTCTGGATTAAGATAAACAAATCACGTTCACAACGAAAGCTTAAAACAGTAAAAAAGCCTTTGATGCCTCTAGCCAACTCCCTCTCTACCTCTGTTTCAGATAATTATATTTTAATTCTGTAAAAGTGAGTTACTTACAGTTACAGGTGAGATAGCCTTCTCGAACTCAATACCCTGAGACTTCTCCCTCGGGTAGCCATCGATGAGGAAGCCGTTGGCTCCCGCAGCACGCGCCTCAATCGCTTCTTTGAGAAGGTCGAGGACTACATTATTTGGCACCAGCTGACCTGAAACATGACAGAATGTTAAGAAAACTAGGAAAAAAAGTATTTTTGAACTTTACTTTTCAGTGTTTCAACTTACACAGTTTCCATTCCGAGGAAGTTTCAAAGGTTCCAAAAATATGGTTGTGCTTTAATCGATATCTGAACATATACAGGTAGAGTACCATGTTTATTACGTTTTTTGTCTATATCTCAGAAAAAGTAGTTTTCTTTCTGGATAACTATACCCTTTGTCGATTTCTGTAGCTCTGTGACAATGGGTGTACAATAATTTAATGACGTTCCGTTGAGTGGGTAAGCGCGAAAGCGTAACTAAGAAACTGGTCATGACTGCGATATCTGTCCAGGACTAGGCTGGGGACAAAATCACAGTGAACTGATGATAATGATGATCATGGTGATTTATCATTCGATTTTTACGTACATAGGTTATAGTTACTACTTATTCACTCGATGTTGCTGTAAGCTGTTTTCAGACGATGCATAAATACCCTATTTCGCCTATTCAACAGTAAATCTAGTAATTATTTTATTATATATAGCTACCATTCCCTACATTATAATTAAAAAAATACTAGATTTACTGTTAAATAGCGTCTAACCTACCTACCTAGCAACCCTAACCTCCGTGCGCAAAAATCGAATGAAAAATCGTAGTTTACTGTGATTTTGTCCTATGTCTATTCAGGACATATCTTGGTGTGATGAGAACGATAATTTGTTCTGTGTCTGTGTGCAGTTAGCTATAATTTACAAAAATGTAAATATGTTTATCAGTATTCAGTTACCATATATCCTCGTATAGCATACAGGCTTTACCTCTTCCGTGTGGTGACGGATTAAGAATACGGAATGTGACCACCCCTATTTATCCCGTGGGTGTCGTAAGAGCCGACTAAGGGAACAAACTGCACAGGACAACAGCACTGCAAAAAGAAGGAAAACTTGAAACAAACCCTATACCAACATGTCTGGCCAGCGTGGTATAGTAGGTCAAAACCTCCTTTCTAAGGAGAGGCCTATGTCTACACTATTATGGGCTGTTGATGATGATGATGATGAGGCTTTGCCTAATTTTGGGATTAGATGTACGTTTGGCATTTGTCAAGTTATCGTAAATATAAGAACCGATCAGTAAATTCATACATCACCTTGTTCCATAATAGTGGTTAGGTTCTTGGCCCTATCGGAACCACTCTTCACCTCAGCGCGCAGCAAATCACCGGTAGACAAGTGGGTGAAGCCATACTTGGCGATGATCTTCTCACACTGGGTGCCTTTGCCGGAGCCGGGCCCACCCAGGATCCACACGATGGGTTTGTCAGCAAAGTTCACTGGGGGCTGAAAATATAAGAGGATAGGGCTTTAAACATGGTACAAAGGCATCAAGATCTTAAGTCCTGAAGCAAAATGTTTATATATTTCTCTTGGCATTAATAAAAAGTTAAAATGAAGCTTAGTAAAAGATCTGAGACGATGAGAAAAACTACGGTAATATATTGGTTTAATACTTTTAACAGAACTCCAGTTCAATACGTGTGCCAAAAACGTATGGGCCTCTAGTAGTCGAATTAACTCCCTAAAACTGCTATCAAAGGCTATACCATAGTGTGCAATCTGCTTTTTAAAAACTACCTACAGTCATACAACATACGATTTATAATTCTTTGACGGTACAATACTAGTCAAGCACAAGATTATTCGTTTGAATGTGAATTTGTTGACTGATATACTTATGAGGGAAATGTAAATTCGTGATCTGATTCACAAACAGATATCCATGTGATAATTTCTTGATAGATCTGTAGCGTAAATAAATCAATGGTGGTCACCTGAAGTGGCTTGTTTCGTGCCTATAAAACCCCATGACTTAAACTTCCTAGATATATAGACGAGATAGGTAGAACTAATGAGTTTGCATTGTAATTCGTGACAGCGTGACGTAAATTATTAAATTTTGTTTAATGTATTACTATGGAATAAAATTTACAACAAAGGTACATCCAAATACTCTCTTCCTAACCTCAATATACTGTACATCATGTTTTAAAGCGCATGGTTTCCAGCAGTTTTCTTCAAGGTCCACTGAGCAGTTAAGCGTATTCAAGGACATAGTTGTTAAAATGCCGGAATATATTGAACGAACTTTATTATAGATTATAATTCGCTATACACATAGTAAAAGATGTATACTGTTGTCAAAAACCAATGTCAGAATGTATAACAGCTAATAAATGATTTTTTTTATTTAAATATTGTCTTAAAGAGGTCTTAAACAAACAGTGTTGTATCTGTAATACAAACTCACACCAAACAAGGGTAGGCAGAGACGATATAACTCCATTTTCTACGATCCTCACATATAGTTCGCGCCTCTTTCACATTCATCAGGCCCTTCAAACAAGCTCGCCGATTACAGGTGCCTTCAAGGAGGCCCTTCTTATTCATCTGATTCATCTCATTCTGAGGGAAATTATTGCCGTTCAATTTATTCATTAATTAGGGAGCAAATGAGCACCAGAACACCCGCAGCTAAAGAGACACACGACGCCCTTTGAGTGTCGCTCTCAGAGTTGGGGAGGTGATTGGTCTTAGGCCTTTTTTTTTTTTTTCCGTGCGGAAATCCCCTCGGATACCACCTGTCGGTGGCATGTCGGACCCGAACCGACTAAAACCGCACGCCTTCGCCGGGTACTAATAGCCGGGGAACCAGGTATACCCTAGAAAGGAAGTCCCTGGTGCTGGTCTTAGGCCTCAGGTTACCTCACTCAGTCGGTGAAAGTAACAAAATAATTCCTAAACACCGACTTTTCGTGGGACCGTGGCAGTACTCCCATCGAGTAGGAACATATATTATGTTCGGAAACATATTATAAGAGACCGATAAGACCCCTATAAGACACCGATAACGCTTCAAATCATATCGTATCGTAAAAAACAGCTGTACATTTTAACGCAATATGAGTTTATAGAAGCAGTAGTGTTGTTCGTGTATTGATTTTCTAATCGAGGTGGTAGTAGGTAATTACCTTTAAGAATTGAAAATCTGATATTGTCTATCGATATAGTTTACAAAAGTGCCATTTGTCATTGACAGGGCATGGTGATCCCTCTCACTTTTGTAATGAAAATATCATCGGATTTCTCTTTATTTGGATTTCTCTTTCTATCTTTGTTATACATATACTTTTTGATGGTAAAATACAGTGAGATTATTCAAAGTAAATTTATTTATTTTTAATTTCTTGTGTTTGCGTAAGTGTTTTTATATTTATCAAATAATAGCTTTTGACTGCGGCTCTATTTTTTAAAAACGGTTTAGTATTTTGGGCCTGAAAGTGTAACAAACAAGGTGTACAAATAAATCTCTCTCGTCTGTTTGTAATGTCAAAATAATAGAATTTTTTTAATGCTCAAATGGTTATTTGCACGATACCTATGCCTAAAAACAAGTTTAATTTTTTTTGCCTGTCTGTCTGTCTGTTTGTTTCGGGTGATCTTTAAAACAGTTTCACCAATTTTGATAATATTTTATTACCAGGTAGTCAGTTTGTCTATACGAGTATAAGGAGCAACTTAGGCTATTTTTCTTCTCAGAAAAACCCTAAAAAATTTTGTCCGATCCGAGAATCAAATCTGAGGCCACATGGACTGCAGTCGCGTACCGTACTACACTACTAAGGCAGCCCTTTTCGCCCTTTCGAACGAAGTCGCGGGTATCAACTAGTTTATAATATAGGTATCGAAGTATAGATGTAGAAATATAATTTTCATAATGACGTTTACTTCAGTTTGTTAGCGTCTCTATCCTACAATGATCGCGTGAAAGGGATGGAATACATATTGAATATCTGTCTTCTCTAACCTGTATCGCACGATTCATTCCTCTTATTTTCCTTGATTAATTTTTGAAAAAAGACACCTATATTTGTTCCTATAACACCTGCTTTCTGTCAATGAAAGTCCCGTGGAAATCGATACACTTATTCCGAAGGTTACAAACAGACTGAAAGGTAAAAACCTATTTTTTTTAGTAGAAGTATCGTGTAAACCAATAAATACATATACTTAAAAAGATGGTATTACAAAATTACATTCATATATCTCAATTTTATATATATATTTTTTATGTTAGAGGGGGCAGACGAGCAGTCGGGTCACCTGATGGAAAGTGACCATCGCTACCCATGAACGTCTGCAACTCAGGAGTCACAAACGCGTTGCCGGCCTTTTAGGAATGAGAACGCTCTTTTCTTGAAGGTTTGATGGTATCGTATCGGTCCGGAAATACCGCAGATGATAACACGTTCCACAGATTGTGGGACAGTGGGGCAAAAATTGTCTTGAAAAGCGCACAGTAGTGGGGCGCCAACTATCCAGGTAATAAGAATGAAAATGATGGCACGTGGAACAATGGCGGAAATTTGCTGGTATTAGTCCGAACAATTCCTCGGAGCACTTTCCATGATATATGCGATAGAGAATGCAGAGTGAAGCTACATCTCTACGTAACGCAAACGAATCGAGCCAGTCGCAAATCTTTTGGCTATTGACGATTCGAGTCGCTCTTCGTTGGATGCGGTCCAGAGGGAGAAGCTGGTACTGAGGTGCCCCTGCATAGAGATGAGAACAGTATTCCATATGCGGGCGGACTTGCGCGTTATAGAGCTGAAGGCGGTGGGCCGGAGTGAAATACTGCCTCGATCTGTTCAGCACACCGAGCTTCTTTGAGGCCAATTTGACCTTACCCTCTGTGTGACCCCGAAACTGGACTTCGCTCGATATGTCGATGCCTAGGACTCTGATGCTGGCTAAGGCAGTTAGGGAAGTGCTCTCAAACTGAGGTGATACGACAAATGGTATCGGCCCCAATTTGAAACCTCCGCTAAGGAAGTTTCAATTTCAGACACAAGTTTGTTACGACTCTCGATTACGTTTTCCCGAGAAATTTTGGGGCGGCCGGTATAAAGGGCATCTCCTGTGCTTTCATCTGCATAGCAATGGATGCTACTACTTTGCAATATGTCATTGATATGCAGAAGAAACAGTGTGGGTGATAGCACACAGCCTTGTTGGACACCAGCATTTACGAATTTCAAGTCGGAGCATGCACCGTCTGCAACGACTTTAATGCTTCTGTCCGCAAGGAAGCTGTTGACCCAATTACACAATTTCTCGGGAAGCCCAAAGGAAGGGAGCTTCGAGAGAAGCGCCTTATGCCAGACCCGATCAAAGGCCTTCGCTATGTCCAAACTAACCGCACAAGCCTCTCCTTTGGTCTCGATCGCCTGTGCCCACCGGTGTGTTAGAAAGACGAGATGTCACCAGCTAAGCGACCCCGGCGAGAACCATATTGTCGGTCATTGAGTAGCTGGTGATCATCTAAGTACCGGTGGAGCTGGCCGTTGATTATGGATTCCATAATCTTAGGGAACAAAGGAGTTGTGGCTGTAGTTGGACGGGTCAGAGCGGTCACCTTTTTTAGGGATCGGGTGCACAAACGCTACCTTCCAGGAGTTCGGTACGACGCCTTGAGAGTAGGAGAGACCAAAAAAGCGCGTTAAAACCGGTGCCAACTCCGGAGCACACGTCTTCAACACAATAGGAGAGATTCCATCGGGCCCACACGACTTATGAATGTCAATTTGTATGGATAAATTCTTTCGGTCACATACGACCGTAAATCCGTTTAATCTCCGTAAATATGACAATGTTTCCTCCTTCCTTGAGTTAAATTGGCTTAAGATTCGTCAGCGCCGTCACCTGCACGAACTAACCACTCTTTATACTATTCTCAACTTGACTCACCCACTAACTTGACATTCTCCTTCCAACTCCTGTGACAGAACCCTTCGCTCTACAAATAATCTTCGTCTCTTATGCACCTCTCATACTCTCATCAGAATGGCACCCAGACTTCATTCATTCAAGGCGAATGTAAAAACTCTCCTCACACACAAAGTAGCTACATCATCATTGCATTAATACTAATATTATATGAATTATGTATATATTTGTATGTATGTATGTTTAGGGATATATATGTATGTAAGGAAATGTGATTGGACATGTATATATATTTATATATTCTCTCTTGCTATCCCTTTTTTTTCGCTTTTCATTTAAATGTATTTCTTGGTCAATTCTTGTTATATTTACTTAAAACTTTTAGCTCATTTCTTCACCACCTTTAAATACAAGTCAACGTTGCGACTGGTAAAACTAGAATGGAATTATCACTATATACAAGCCATAAGATTGATTACTTCAAGCAAGACGAAAACTTTTATTTCTAAAAAAATAAAAACAACCAAATAGATCTTTTTGTGAGCTAACACACA